TGAGGTGCGGCAGTAGAGAGGGTGAAGGTTATCGCAGTGTCTTGTGTTTTATAGATGGATTTCAGAATTAACCTGGAAGAATCCATTGAAGGGTTAGGTAAACTGTCTGGGAGGTATGAGTATTTGTAGATGAAAGTGCATGATTGGCTTACATTAATGTCGTAAATAGACAAGATATTGAGTGTCTTAAACAAAGGTGCAGATGGAGCCAGGTAATTAGAGGAGGTGGCTAGTCTTGCAGATGTCTTTTGTATGATGAGTCATTTGTGTAGGTAGGAGGCATATCTACTGGCCCAGACAATATTACAGTAAATGAGATATGGGTAAATTTAAGCTATAGTATAGAGTTAGGAAGCAAGCCCGATGAACCAAACCACTAATCTTTCTGATGATACCAACAGATTTCATCACTTTGCAGCAGACAAATTGAAAATGATCTTTCCAGGATAACTTTTCATCAATTAAAACTCAGAGGAATCTAGTGGATGTGACTTGTTTCATTTGTTTCCCACCAATTGAGATTGTCTTTTTTTTGTAATCTTTTTTTAAACATTTTTTTTAAACAATATTTCTTATTCTTACTAGTGAATACAATAAAGTTAGATTTTTAATAAAATATTTCAAGATAATTTGTTTATCTGGAACCATTCAGAAAATGTTGCCATGCCTGAGTTGGCTTCATTAATTAGTGAATCAAAATTATTGTGTGATCAAATCCAATTGGTATCATCAGCAAAGAGAATGGGAAGTACGGTAGAAGACACAGCAGCAAGGTCATTGATATAGATTAGGAATAACAAAGGTCCAATTATCGAACCCTGTGGCACACCACAGGATATCTTGGCCCTGGTAGATGCACAGCAGTTTGCATAAACAAATTGTTCTCTATCATAACCATAACTAGTACATAAGGAGTACACCACATCAGTCACTGGCTTCATCAATAAGTGCATCGATGATGTCGTCCCCACAGTGACCGTACGTACATACCCCAACCAGAAGCCATGGATTACAGGAAACATCCGCACTGAGCTAAAGGGTAGAGCTGCCGCTTTCAAGGAACGGGACTCTAACCCGGACGCTTATAAGAAATCCCGCTATAACCTCCGACGAACCATCAAACAGGCAAAGAGTCAATACAGGTCTAAGATTGAATCATACTACACTGGCTCTGACGCTCGTCGGATGTGGCAGGGCTTGAAAACTATTACAGACTACAAAGGGAAGCACAGCCGCGAGCTGCCCAGTGACACAAGCCTACCAGACGAGCTAAACCACTTCTATGCTCGCTTCGAGGCAAGCAACACTGAAGCATGCATGAGAGCACCAGCTGTTCCGGATGACTATGTGATCATGCTCTCCGTAGCCGAGTAAGACTTTTAAGCAGGTCAACATTCACAAGGCCGCAGGGCCAGACGGATTACCAGGACGTGTACTCTGAGCATGTGCTGACCAACTGGCAAGTGTCTTCACTGACATTTTCAACATGTCCCTGACTGAGTCTGTAATACCAACATGTTTCAAGCAGACCACCATAGTCCCCGTGCCCAAGGACTCTAAGATAACCTGCCTAAATGACTACCGACCCGTAGCACTGACGTCTGTAGCCATGAAGTGCTTTGAAAGGCTGGTCATGGCTCACATCAACACCATTATCCCAGAAACCCTAGACCCACTCCAATTTGCATACCGCCCCAACAGATCCACAGATGATGCAATCTCTATCGCACTCCACACTGCCCTTTCCCACCTGGACAAGAGGAACACCTACGTGAGAATGCTATTCATTGACTACAGCTCAGCATTCAACACCATAGTGCCCTCTAAGCTCATCACTAAGCTAAGGATCCTGGGACTAAACACCTCCCTCTGCAACTGGATCCTGGACTTCCTGACGGGCCGCCCCCAGGTGGTAAGGGTAGGTAACAACACATCTGCCACACTGATCCTCAACACGGGGGCCCCTCAGGGGTGCGTGCTCAGTCCCCTCCTGTACTCTCTGTTCACCCATGACTGCATGGCCAGGCACGACTCCAACACCATCATTAAGTTTGCCGACGACACAACAGTGGTAGGCCTGATCACCGACAACGATGAGACAGCCTATAGGGAGGAGGTCAGAGATCTGGCCGTGTGGTGCCAGGACAACAACCTCTCCCTCAACGTGACCAAGACAAAGGAGATGATTGTGGACTACAGGAAAAAAAATTGGACTGAGCACGCCCCCATTCTCATCGACGGGGCTGTAGTGGAACAGGTTGAGAGCTTCAAGTTCCTTGGTGTCCACATCACCAACGAACTATCATGGTCCAAACACACCAAGACAGTCGTGAAGAGGGCACGACAAAGCCTATTCCCCCTCAGGAGACTAAAAAGATTTGGCATGGGTCCTCAGATCCTCAAAAAATTCTACAGCTGCACCATCGAGAGCATCCTGACTGGTTGCATCACCGCCTGGTATGGCAACTGCTTGGCCTCCGACCGCAAGGCACTACAGAGGGTAGTGCGTACGGCCCAGTACATCACTGGGGCACAGCTTCCTGCCATCCAGGACCTCTATACCAGGCGGTGTCAGAGGAAGGCCCTCAAAATTGTCAAAGACTCCAGCCACCCTAGTCATAGACTGTTCTCTCTGCTACCGCACGGCAAGCGGTACCGGAGTGCCAAGTCTAGGTCCAAAAGACTTCTCAACAGCTTCTACCCCCAAGCCATAAGACTCCTGAACAGCTAATCATGGCTACCCGGACTATTTGCACTGCCACCCCACCCCATCCTTTTTACGCTGCTGCTACTCTGTTAAGTATTTATGCATAGTCACTTTAACTCTACCCACATGTACATATTACCTCAACTACCTCAACTAGCCGGTGCCCCCGCACATTGACTCTGCAACGGTACCCCCCTGTATATATAGCCTCCCTACTGTCACTTTATTTTACTTCTGCTCTTTTTTTTTCTCAACACTTTGTTTTGTTGTTGTTTTATTCTTACTTTTTTTTGTTTAAAATAAATGCACTGTTGGTTAAGGGCTGTAAGTAAGCATTTCACTGTAATGTCTGCACCTGTTTTATTCGGCGCATGTGACCAATACAATTTGATTTGATTTGATTTGACTATATAGCCAATTATATGTATAATCATGAAAACCGTAATAATGCAATTTAGAAAGTAATATTTCGTGATCAACCATGTCAAAATCTTTGGATAAATCTAAAAAGATGCCATGAGCATATTCATTGTTGTCCAGGGCTGTAAATATTTTCCAAAGAGCCATATCTGTGGAGTAGTTTTCATGAAAACCATATTGGTGCTCATATAGGATACAGTGCTGATTCTCTAATACACCACATTTTCTAGGATTTAAAAAAAGATGGTAGTACAGATATTGTCACGATCGTCGACAGATGAAGCGGACCAAGGCGCAGCGTGATAAGTGTACATACTTTATTTGTGTACTCAACGAACCAAAACATCAAACGAAACGATACGTGAAGTCCTAGGTTATACACAAAACCTTACGGAACAAGATCCCACAAATGACTAGTGAAAACAGGCTGCCTAAGTATGGGCCCCAATCAGAGACAACGAGCTACAGCTGTCTCTGATTGGGAACCACCCTGGCCAACATAGAAATAAACGATCTAGAACAAAACCCATAGAAAACTAAACATAACAAGTCCACACCCTGGCTCAACATTTAAGAGTCCCCAGAGCCAGGGCGTGACAGATATTGGGCGATAATTTGTAAAAGATATTGGATCCCCAGATTTATAGAGGGGGATAACTTTGGCAATTTTCAAATCTTTAGGAACAATACCAATTTGCATAGATTTGATGAAGATATATACGTTACAGGCTCAGTAATCGAGGAAGACACTGATTTCACTAAAGAGGCACCAATCTCATCATGACCTTCTGCTGATATCTTTAAGTTACGAATTACCTCCATCACCTCCATCACATCAGGAGGATCAAACTGAAACAGAGAAGGGAAATGTCCCTTAATGTAATCCAAGGGATTGCATCAGTTTTCTCAATTTTCTTTGATAGAGAGAACCCACATTCACAAAATAGTTATTAAATTCACATGAGGTCTTATTTCCAACAATAAATTGAGATGGGATGGTTGTAGATGCCTTTTTCTTATTCAACAGTTGATTGAGGATTTTCCAAGTTTACTTTATATTATTTAAGGATTCTTGGAATTTATTAGTAAAATATATTTTTTGGCATATCCAAAGTAGGTGAGTAATGTTTTCTTAAAGTTTTTGTAATTTGCAGAATCCATCGGGGAAGAAAGGGCATTCCAATGCGCCCTCTCCATCTCCATGAGTTTAGGGTCCAGTTTGAGTTGATCTGCCAGGAGTGTCTTGGCCTTGACTTCTGTGTCATGCCAACTTTCAGTCTTTATGTCTTCAATTCCATCGATTCAAATGTTATTGTGCCTCGATTGGTTTTCGAGGTAGTATCGTTTTGGAAGAGTGCTTGTCAAGTGTTATTTGGAAAATTGCAAAATCCTCAGACATGGTTTTGAATGCGGTCTGGCTGGTGACATCCGCACCCTTTAGATCCTCCACCTCCGACTGCGTAAATTCCAAACTGTTTAAATTCCATTACAGCCTTAAACAGATCATCAACCCTTTTGTTGGTAGAATCCATAAAGAGTTGCAGGAAGGATTGAACGTTATTTTCCTGCAGATCTATTAAATCTTTATAGAACTATTTTTGTTGATCGAGTAGTTCATGGAGTGTAGTGCTTGATACGTACTCGTCTTCCGCATTGAGCTTTGCTGCGTTTTTCTGTATAGTATTAGCCATGCTACAAGCTTGTTGTGAGCTAAAATGAGTTTGCAAACACAACCCACACCAAAGCCCCAAAACAAGCTTGATCACACATGCATCAGGATGATAAACATAGAAAAAGCAGAGAACTTGGTCACTATATGGATCCTGGCTGCACTTTACTAATCGAGTAAGTTAGTGCTGTGGATACAAGCAGTATGTGGTGCTTGGGAGAGACAGTGGTAGGAGCATTCGCTTACCCATAGAACGAGCAGCATGAACGAGCAGCGTGAACATGGTGCCTCAATTAAAGCTAGAATCCTTAATTGAAACAATAACATAGTGTTTTGGTAAAACGCTGAGGGATGAGCCTGGAGAAATGTAAGCACTCTCAAATTCATAGACTGGGTTGTGGATGCAAGGAATGACCATCCATAATATAAAAATGATAGTTTTAACCATGTTTTGAGGCTATACAGTTTTATAAACATTTATATTGTTTACAAACTTCAGAGTAAAAAATGCTTATATTTTTGGTTCTGATGGGGTACGACAGTTGAGCTCATGGGGCATTTATAAGTTATATTCTTCAAGAATCAATGGTCCAAAATGGATGTAGCAACTAAGGATTCTAGCTTTGAACCCATATTTTTCTTTCTTTCTCTCTCTATCTCTCTTTCTCTCTCTTGATCTCTCTTTCTTTCTCTCTCTCTCTCTGTCCCTGTCTCTCCCACACCCCTCATTCTCTCTCGCTCATCCCTCTCTCTCTTTCCCTCTCTCTCTCCCTCTCTCTCCCCCTCTCTCTCCCCCTCTCCAGGCTGTGAGCCCTGTGGAGTGTGGTCATGACCAGCCAGGGCAGCAACAGCAGCAGGAAGGACAGCCATGCTGCTGACAGTACCCCCTCCTCCTCCACGCCCTCACGCCTGCCCCCCGGCCCCAAGCTGCAGGTGCAGCGCTCCCTCTCCCGAGACACCATCACCATCCACTTCTCCGCCCTGGGAAAAGAGGAGGATGAGGACGAGGAGCTGTATGGGTTTGGGGCGTCTGTGTCATCATCCTCCCCAGGAGAGGGGTCAGAAGGGCTGGGTGGGATGGAGGGGAGGACTGAGGACCAGGGCATCGTGACGGCCTTGGAAGCCAGCGAGGAGCTACTGTTTGAGGCTGGAGGGATTGAGACCACCACTACCATTAATGTGTCCTCTACCACTCTACCCCACAGCCCAGCCCTGCCCATCCTCCCCTCCTCCACCCACCCCACCCTCGAGTCCCCCCCTGCTTGCTCCTCCTGGCCCTCCAATCACACAAGACCCACGATCCCTCCCACTGCCACCACCTCCTCCTCCACCACCTCCTCCCCCTCTCGCTCCGCAGCCCTGCCCTCCAAGCCTTTCCTCAGCCTCAGGTCCCTGTCCAATGAAATGATGGTTGCCTCTCCTTCTTCTGCCGGGCGGCACCGCCACCACCTGATGAAGACGTTCGTCAAGTCTCTCTCCACAGACAATACCAGGCCCGACCACCAGGAGGCGCCCTCACAACCATCTCTCCCCCAGCAGCGCCCACCTCCAGACTCCCGCGTCAACAACCTGCTGCTCTTCAAGCAGTTGGGCCAGCCGAGGGGCTCCACCGCGTCTGGGGGTGGTGACTCCAAGACGGCCCCCTCCTCCCCCCTCACCAGCCCGGCCGACGGGAGGTGTTTCTTCAAGGTGCAAGAGATGGAGGCCAGGATCGAGGATACTAGGAGGCGTTTGTCAGAGGTCATGTGCGAGCCAATGCAGTTGTTCAGTAAGTTCATGGGCGACGAGGCTGGAGGCGGGGCCGAGGGAGTGGGTACAGGAGGGGGTACCTCCGCTACCCACTGCTCCAAATCCCTCTCCCTCAGCGCCACGGAGCTCACCAACCTGGCAGGCCTCAATGGGCACGCAGAGAGCAACGACAACTACAGCATCAAAGAGGAGGAGGGAGGCGACTCTGACGGAGAGGAGGAGGGGGAAGAGGAGACCCCTACTGGTGAAGCCCCAGCAGACTCTGTCTTCTCCTCTCCTCCAGCCAAGACCTCCAGGACCTCCAGGGTCTCCTCCCCTCCTCCTCTCCCCAGGTCCTCCTCCCTCGCCCTGGGTCACTGCTCAATGTCGGCCCTGGTCCGCCTGGAGGACGAGGAGTTCTTTGAGCTCTACAGTGAAGACTTTGAGCTCTGTACTGACACTGAGACACCGGACGGGGAGCGGCCCGGGTCCCTGCAGATCCAAACAGGCAGCACGGGTGTCTGCAGTGAAGCCGAGTCCGACGAAGAGGAGGAAGACTTAACAAACGTTCCCATCACTGGCCTCCTCTTCCTCACGTGTCTAGTCTACAGTTACCTGGTCCTCCCCCTGCCGCCCTATTTGTGTGCGGTGGTGCAGGGGGTGGCGGCAGGGTTCATGCTGGCTGTACTGGTGCTGTGGCTGTCGGCTCCGGAGGTCTCCAGCTGCAGTGGGACCAGGCAGGGCAGACGAAGGAGGGAGCAGTGGAACGTGGCCCAGCTGGATATCAAAGAACCTGGAATCTTTAAGGTAGGTCACTGTGTTAGCAGTTTAGTGCTAAGTATTTAGAAATTGGACTACTTACATCTGAAATTAGTGCCAAAGCAATTGTAAAGCAAAAAACTGTAAAGGGTGCATTAGTATTAGACTGGAACAAAATCCGGCTCAACCTGCAACTCTCCAGAACCAGAGTTGGTGACTGAACACTGTCTTACGTTTAACATCCTATCCCTGTATTTTTTTGTGTAAGGTTATGACATAGAAAGCTTTCTACCCAAGATGATAGCTAATATATTTATAAATGCAACAATAAAGATATTGTCATGCGTAGGCATACTTTTCTGTTGTGCAACAACCAAGGTATAAGGCAGATCACATAAAGAGGATCCTGACATCTTAGATAGGCCATGTCCTTCCCCTAGTAGTACCTGTCATCACGTGACATTTACATTTTAGTCTTTAGAGACTCTCTATATCCAGACTGTACAGTTTATGTGAGTGCATACCTTTTCATACTGGCCCCGTGGGAATACACAACCCTGTCCTTCCCTAGTGAGTAACCTACCTGTCATCACTGTGGACAGTAGCCTGACATCTTAGATGGGCCATGTCCTTCCCCTAGTAGTACCTGTCATCACTGTGGACAGATAGCCTGACATCTTAGATGGGCCATGTCCTTCCCCTAGCAGTACCTGTCATCACTGTGGACAGATAGCCTGACATCTAGATGTGCCATGTCCTTCCCCTAGTAGTACCTGTCATCACTGTGGACAGATGCTGACATCTTAGATGGGCCATGTCCTTCCCCTAGTAGTACCTGTCATCACTGTGGACAGATAGCCTGACATTAGATGGGCCATGTCCTTCCCTAGTAGTACCTGTCATCACTGTGGACAGATAGCCTGACATCTTAGATAGCATGTCCTTCCCTTGTAGTACCTGTCATCACTGTGGACAGATAGCCTGACATCTTAATGGGCCATGTCTTTCCCCTAGTAGTACCTGTCATCACTGTGGACAGATAGCCTGACATCTTAGATGGGCCATGTCCTTCCCCTAGTAGTACCTGTCATCACTGTGGACAGATAGCCTGACATCTTAGATAGGCCATGTCCTTCCCCTTGTAGTACCTGTCATCACTGTGGACAGATAGCCTGACATCTTAGATGGGCCATGTCTTTCCCCTAGTAGTACCTGTCATCACTGTGGACAGATAGCCTGACATCTTAGATGGGCCATGTCCTTCCCTAGTAGTACTGTCATCATGCGGACAGATAGCCTGACATCTTAGATGGGCCATGTCCTTCCCCTAGTAGTACCTGTCATCATGGGGACAGATAGCCTGACATCTTAGATGGCCATGTCCTTCCCCTAGTAGTACCTGTCATCACTGTGGACAGATAGCCTGACATCTTAGATGGGCCATGTCCTTCCCCTAGTAGTACCTGTCATCACTGTGGACAGATAGCCTGACATCTTAGATGGGCCATGTCCTTCCCCTAGTAGTACCTGTCATCACTGTGGACAGATAGCCTGACTCTTAGATGGCCATGTCCTTCCCCTAGTAGTAAACTGTCATCACTGTGGACAGATAGCCTGACATCTTAGATGGGCCATGTCCTTCCCCTAGTAGTACCTGTCATCACTGTGGACAGATAGCCTGACATCTTAGATGGGCCATGTCCTTCCCCTAGTAGTACCTGTCATCACTGTGGACAGATAGCCTGACATCTTAGATAGGCCATGTCCTTCCCCTTGTAGTACCTGTCATCACTGTGGACAGATAGCCTGACATCTTAGATGGGCCATGTCTTTCCCCTACTAGTACCTGTCATCACTGTGGACAGATAGCCTGACATCTTAGATGGGCCATGTCCTTCCCCTAGTAATACCTGTCATCACTGCGGACAGATAGCCTGACATCTTAGATGGGCCATGTCCTTCCCCTAGTAGTACCTGTCATCACTGTGGACAGATAGCCTGACATCTTAGATAGGCCATGTCCTTCCCCTAGTAGTACCTGTCATCACTGTGGACAGATAGCCTGTAGCTTCTATTGAGTTAGCAAGCTGAGCACATGTTGCTGATAGCGTCTACAAGATAAACAGCTGATACATGGCTGGCTTTTCCCCAGTGGGACTCAGAGAGAGTAGGGAGGATCTTCAAGGTTACGTCCCAAATGGCACCCTGTTCCCTATTTAGTGCACTACCTTTGACCAGGGCCAATAGGGCTCTGGTTAAAAGTAGTGCACTATATAGGGATTAGGTTGCCATTTGGGACGCTAACCAATTCTCCATATCGCCTCTCTGTTTGTCATTAAAAGCTCAGGACTAAAACCTGATGGCTGCTCAGTTTATCAGATAGGACAGGAAGCAACTCAGTATCTGTCTGTAGATATCCTTCTTCTTCCCTCTCTTCAATGGCTAAAACAGTTGCCAAGGTAACAATTCTCTTCCTTCCATGAATCCTAATATCCACACGAGTACTATTCAGTAGGCTTGAGTTATTACACCATTAAACATTACACTGGCTTAAATATTGGGATGTACAACCTCTACTGAATGCTCATGCAGCATTCACCATGGTGGCTTCCCAGTGGGATAGAAAAACATTGGCTGGATGAGAAATACATCAAAGTCCGGTGTGGCTCAGCATGGTGCTTGCAACACCAGGGTTGTGGGTTTGATTCCCACGGGGGACCAGTATGAAAATGTATGCACTCACTACTGTAATAAGACTCTGGATAAGAGTGTCTGCTAAATGACTCCTCTAATCTAACGTCCTCATTGGGCTGTCTAACAACATACTGAGCCTCTATAGCATTCTCTCCAGCTACTCTGGGGTTTGCCCTGAAACAACCTCACAGATTAAATGGTCTGTTGATTTGTCAAACGTTCTCCTTTTAACCCAGTCAATGTGCTGGAAACTGAAACAGAGGAGACACGCTTAGCGGTTGGCCAGCGGTTATGTAAGCTTGTGCGTGTGTGTGTGTGTGTTCTTATTTGAGTGTGTGTGTGTACTTGTGTGTGTTTGAACCTGTGTGTGTTTGAATCTGTGTGGGCACATGAGCTCAATAGCCTCTGGCAACAGCTGTACTAGAGAGAGGCTCTCTGGTCACGCGGAACATAGCACAACATAGCGCCTGTGGAACAACACAATATAGCCGGCTAAAGGAAGGGTCATATGGTGCAGCTCTCACCCACAGTCACACTATGATGTCATCATGCCCTTCTGCTCAGTATGATGTAATTCATGATGTAACGTCTCCCAGTCTCTGAAGAGAACTGAACAGACCGTTGTTGTTTAGATGAAGCCATGTTTTGATACTAGCTCCACATATCAACATGGTCTGGATGATTCTCTCACTAGGAAGTTAGTATGGACCAGGGGTATCAGCTAAATGTTGGAGACCGTGTGATTATGTGGTTGTATTGCAGCCCATCACACTCCCCAATTAGTGTGTGTGTGTGTGTGTGTGTGTGTGTGTGTGTTTGTGCGTGTCATGCATACATATTTATTAGTCTCCATGTTGTTCCATGCGTCAGTCTGAGAGTTAACAATGTGTATTGTCCCCATTAACAGGGCTGGATGAACCAGATGTACAGCTATGACCTAGAGATGTACCATGCCACTCTGACCCACTCTGTGTATGTACGTCTGGAGGGCTCCACCCTGCGCCTGTCCAAACCCAACCGCAACATCGCCCGGCGGGCCACGCACAACGAGCCCAAACCTGACGTCACCTACATCAGCCAGAAGATCTATGACCTCACCGACAGCAAGGTGTGTGTGTCTGTCTGTGTGTGGAACGTGTTGTATGGTCGTTTAAGGAGGGATGCGTGATTTTGTGTGTGTGTCTAAGACCGAGAGAGGGAGGGAAAGGGAATACGATGTACAAGTGACATCGTCCTACGTCATACTTCTGGGTCCTGTCCCCTAATCTTTTGAATGGGCTTGACGATTATATCATAAACTCAGTGAAAATGCGGTCATTTAAGATATATAGAAAATTAATTTTGTGTTTGTGGATGAATTTACTTCTGAAGTTTGTGTGCTGAAGACCATTGTGATATGTTTTTCCATTCAAAAAGCTAAACTAAAAGGCTACTTCCTAGAAACAGACGCATCACTTTCATACCGTATGTGGTGCACATTTGTGTATGTCTGTGTGTGTTTGGGCACACAGACATTAAAGTGGGCCTTCCTCACAAGTGATAGAAATACCTGTATCTGTCCAGTCAGCCTAGTATTTTTAGACCAAGCGGTTCATGTAGCGTGTAACATCCAAATGTGTCCCCAGATCCACCTTGTGCCCCAGAGCCTGGCCAGGAAGCGTGTGTGGAACAAGAAGTACCCAATCTGTATCGAGCTGGCCAAGCAGGAGGACTTCATGTCCAAGGCCCAGGCCCAGGTAGAGAGGACCGAGCCTGGGGAGGAGAAGCCGGCCGAGGTGGGGGAGAAGGGGGAGAAGCTGGAGGGTCCAGGAGGAGCTGGGGGTGGAGAGGAGCCCAGGAAACCCCCAGGGGAGCGAGATCTGACCCTGTTCCTGTTCGGAAGGACGGGTCGGGAGAAGGAAGAATGGTTCAGGAGGATTCTGGTGGCATCCAGACTGAAGTCAGAGGCTAATAAAATGTCCAGTGAGCGTCCAGTGGGCGGTGAGGGAACATTCAAATCAACACACACACACACACAGCTATACTTGTGAAGACTTTTTGGGGACCAACAATTGATTCCCATTCTAAATCCTATTTTCCCTAACCCCTAACCCTAAGTATTAACCCCTAGCCTTAACCCTAATTCTAACCCTAACCCTAATTCTAAGAGGATTACAGACAGGGAGACGTTAGCTAGACGTAACATATGTGAAATGATTTCCAATAGAATTTGAACCCAGGTCTGGTTGTCGTTGCCTGACAGACTGGTCTCACAGACTGGAGGCAGAGAGCAGGAGCAGCAGCCTCATGGACGAGCCCAGTCAGAAGGACCCTTCCCTGGCTGGAGGGGTCAGGCAGAAGATGCTGCTGGACTACAACGTCTACATGGCCAAGTACGTCACCCCCCTGCCCCCGCTGGACAGCCCCCCTGCCAGCAGCCCCGCCCACAGCCAAGAGGGCAGCCCTGGAGCCACCAAGAAGGTAGGGCTGATGAGGGAGACCACAGAGATCTTTTTTATGTAATTCTATGGGGGTGACCATGTTGACACAGGCTGATCAGATAGCCATGTAGACGTGTAGCTAGTGTGGCCATGTAATAGCATGTAACAATATACAACTATACTAAGCAACATGCAACAATTTGAAAGAGTTACAGTTCAAATAAGGAAATCAGTCAGTTTAAATAAATAAATTAGGTCCTAATCTATGGATTTCACATAACTGGGAATACAGATATGCATCTGTTGGTCACAGATACCTTTAAAATAAAAAGTAGGGGCATGGATCATGCAGCGCGATGCATCTCCTTTGCATAGAGTTGATCAGGTTGTTGATTGTGGCCTGTGGAATGTTGTCCTATTCCTCTTCAATGGCTGTGCGAAGTTGCTGGATATTGGCTGGAACTGGAACACGCTGTTGTACATGTCGATCCAGAGCATCCCAAACATGCTCAATGGGTGAAATGTCTGGTGAGTATACAGACCATGGAAGAACTGGAACATTTTCAGCTTCCAGGAATTGTGTACAGATCCTTGCGACATGGGGCCTTGCATTATCATGCTGAAACATGAGGTGATGGCGGCGGATGAATGGCAAGACAATGGGCCTTAGGATCTCATCTCTGTGCATTCAAATTGCCATCGATAAAATTAAATTGTGTTTGTTGTCCGTATGTATGTTTACTACCTTTGTCTCACTACCTGTTACTCCCACGTTGTTCTTCTCAGTTACCCAGCAGCCCGTGCGAGCGGCCGGGGCGAGGGGCGGTGCCAGAGGCGTGGGTGAACGCCCTGATAGGCCGGGTGTTCTGGAACTTCCTGGGGGAGAAGTACTGGGCTGACATGGTCTCCAAGAAGATCCAGATGAAGCTCAGTAAGATCAGGGTGAGTACTGGCATCCTATCTCCTCTGCCTCCACATACAGTCAGCGTGTAAATTCCTCTTATCTGTCTTTGTGCCAGAGAGCTCTTTGTCGATAGTCCTTTTTAAATTCCATGCGTCCTCTCCTCCCGTCTTCCCCTCGCTTACTTCTCAACACACGAGAGGGAAATGAGATGTAACTCAGAGAAAACACACTTGTAAAAAGGGACACTGTCCTCAAGTGTAAATGTCCTGTGTGTTACAGCTGCCGTACTTTATGAATGAGCTGGTTCTGACAGCGCTGGACATGGGCTTCTCCATTCCCAAGATCCTCCATGCCTCCAAGCCCTCCGTGGACCACCAAGGTAGGACTCTCTCTCTCTCTCTGCTTTCTCTTCTCCCTCTCTATCTTTTCTCCTCTCCCTCCTCCTTTCATCTCCTCTCTCTCCCCCTCTCTTCTCCCTTTCGTCTCAGTCTCCACATACTCCTGCCTCTATTGACCAGAGTAATTAAACTTCACATCCACATCCTCTCTGTCTATTACACTGTGACTCACTCTGTCTGCCCAGCACAAGGACTCTCTACCCCTGTGGCTGTTTTCATAAAACGTCTAGGATCAGGTCTTCCCTGTCCATACAGTGCTGTGAAAAAGTATTTTCCCCCTTTCTAATTTTCTCTACTTTTGCATATGTTTTATACAAAATGTTACCAGATCTTCAACCAAAACCTAATATTAGATAAAGGGAACTTGAGTGAACAAATAACACAACAATTACATACTTATTTCATTTATTTCATAAACAAAGTTATGCAACACCCAATGCCCCTATGTGAAAAAGTAATTGCCCCCTTACACTCAATAACTGGTTGTGCCACCTTTTAGCTGCAATGACTCCAACCAAATGCTTCCTGTAGTTGTTGGTCAGTCTCTCACGTCACTGTGGAGGAATTTTGTCCCACTCTTCCATGCAGAACTGCTTTAACTCAGCGACATTTGTGGGTTTTCAAGCATGCACTGCTCGTTTCAAGTCCTGCCACATCTCAATTGAGATTAAGTCTGGACTTTGACGAGGCCATTTCAAAACTTCCAATGTGTTGCTTTTTACCCATTTTCATGTAGACTTTATTGTGTGTTGTGGATCATTGTCTTGCTGCATGACCCAGCTACGCTTCAGCTTCAGCTCACAGACGGATGGCCTGACATTCTCCAGTAGAATTCTCTGATACACAGCAGAATTCATGGTTCCTTCGATTAAGGCAAGTCATCCAGGTCCTGAGGTAGCAAAGCATCTCTAAACCACCACACTACCACCACCATGCTTGACCATTGGCATAAGGTTCTTACTGTGGAATACAGTGTTTGGTTTTCGCCAGGCATAATGGGACCCATGTCGTCCAAAAAGTTCTACTTTTGACTCATCTGTCCATAGAACATTCTTCCAAGAGTCTTGATGATCATCCAGGTGCTTCCTGGTGCTTTTTGGCAAACTTGCGTCAACTTTTTGGACGAGATGTTTCCCATTATGTCTTGGCATTGGGTGTTGCATAACTTTGGTTATGAAATGAATGAAATAAGTCATTGTTGTGTTATTTGTTGTTTTGGTTGAAGATCTGATAACATTTAGTATAAAAAAATATGCAAAGGGAAAAAATACTTTTTCACGGCACTGTACAGTGGGGAAAAAAAGTATTTAGTCAGCCACCAATTGTGCAAGTTCTCCCACTTAAAAATATGAGAAAGGCCTGTCGTTTTCATCATAGGTACACGTCAACTATGACAGACAAAATGAGGAAAAAAAACCCAGAAAATCACATTGTAGGATTTTTAATGAATTTATTTGCAAATTATGGTGGAAAATAAGTATTTGGTCAATAACAAAAGTTTCTCAATACTTTGTTATATACCCTTTGTTGGCAATGACACAGATCAAATGTTTTCTGTAAGTCTTCACAAGGTTTTCACACACTGTTGCTGGTATTTTGGCCCATTCCTCCATGCAGATCTCCTCTAGAGCAGTGATGTTTTGGGGCTGTCGCTGGGCAACACGGACTTTCAACTCCCTCCAAAGATTTTCTATGGGGTTGAGATCTGGAGACTGGCTAGGCCACTCCAGGACCTTGAAATGCTTCTTACGAAGCCACTCCTTCGTTGCCCGGGCGGTGTGTTTGGGATCATTGTCATGCTGAAAGACCCAGCCACGTTTCATCTTCAATGCCCTTGCTGATGGAAGGAGGTTTTCACTCAAAATCTCACGATACATGGCCCCATTCATTCTTTCCTTTACACGGATCAGTCGTCCTGGTCCCTTTGCAGAAAAACAGCCCCAAAGCATGATGTTTCCACCCCCATGCTTCACAGTAGGTATGGTGTTCTTTGGATGCAACTCAGCATTCTTTGTCCTCCAAACACGACGAGTTGAGTTTTTACCAAAAAGTTCTATTTTGGTTTCATCTGACCATATGACATTCTCCCAATCCTCTTCTGGATCATCCAAATGCACTCTAGCAAACTTCAGACAGGCCTGGACATGTACTGGCTTAAGCAGGGGGACACGTCTGGCACTGCAGGATTTGAGTCCCTGGCGGCGTAGTGTGTTACTGATGGTAGGCTTTGTTACTTTGGTCCAAGCTCTCTCCAGGTCCCCCCATGTGGTTCTGGGATTTTTGCTCACCGTTCTTGTGATCATTTTGACCCCACGGGGTGAGATCCTGCGTGGAGCCCCAGATCGAGGGAGATTATCAGTGGTCTTGTATGTCTTCCATTTCCTAATAATTGCTATTGCAGATTCAGTCTTCCCAGCCTGGTGCAGGTCTACAATTTTGTTTCTGGTGTCCTTTGACAGCTCTTTGGTCTTGGCCATAGTGGAGTTTGGAGTGTGACTGTTTGAGGTTGTGGACAGGTGTCTTTTATACTGATGACAAGTTCAAACAGGTGCCATTAATACAGGAAACGAGTGGAGGACAGAGGAGCCTCTTAAAGAAGAAGTTACAGGTCTGTGAGAGCCTGAAATCTTGCTTGTTTGTAGGTGATCAAATACTTATTTTCCACCATAATTTGCAAATAAATTCATTAAAAATCCTACAATGTGATTTTCTGGAGAAAAAAATTCTCAATTTGTCTGTCATAGTTGACGTGTACCTATGATGAAAATTACAGGCCTCTCTCATCTTTTTAAGTGGGAGAACTTGCACAATTGGTGGCTGACTAAATACTTTTTTTCCCCACTGTATATGTTATTCATTAGGATCCTAAAGGCAAAAATGATTCTAGATCAGCACTTCAACTGAGAATGTGAATACAGCCCACGACTCTGAGAGCAAGGCACATTAATTCCTGCATTGATATGTCTGACTTTGGGAGGGGATGAGGGGGAGAAGTGGGAGGCTAGTGAGGAGAGTGGGAGGTCATATTGATCCAGTCATTTAACTATATTCTGATGTAGGGGATACAGTTGGGAGTGTGTGGGTGTGGGGTTACAACGCCATCTGAAATTTTAGCTCGGTTTTTCATGTTTTACCTGAAAAACCTTTCATTGCTAAGCTTGAATGTCTCACTGTCTCACTTTAACGGTTCACTTCTCTTTAAAGGCCCAGTGCAGTCAAAATGCAGTTTTTCCTCTGTTTTGTATCATACAGATGATGAAACTCACTGTAATGGGTGGAGTTTTGGCTTACCTGGTGACATCAACAGGCGGTATATGTTTTAATAGACCAATAACAAAGATAGTTCTAAACCTCTCTGACAATACCAGCTAGTTTTCAGTTTTCCCCTCCCCACTCAGACCACTCCCACAGTCCTAGCAAAATCATTGCTTGAGAAATAGTTTTTTGCTAAAAAGCTTTTTTTGGGGGGACAATTTTAATTGAAAACAATCACAGTAAGGTACTTAATGATTTGATATTGAGATAAAAAATGGTTGCATTGAAAGCTACAGTCTGGAATTTGGGAAACTTTCCATATTCAATTCAAGGTGAATGGTTAAACTCCTAAGCCTGTACTGCAGCGTTTCCCAACCTCGTTCCTGGGGACCCCAAGGGGTGCCCTAGCACTACACAGCTGATTCAAATAATCAGGGGGGGCCCCATGACCGAGTTTGGGAAATACTGCTCTGTTGTCTTGCTACAGTAGAAGCGGCAGGTAGCCTAGTGGTTAAGAGCGTTGGGTCAGTAACCGAAAGGTCGCTGGTTTGAATGCCCTTGGGCAAGGCAGTTAACCCCCAACAACAACTGCTCCCCGGGCGCGGATGATGTCGATAAGGTAGCCCCCCGCACCTCTCTGATTCAGAGGGATTGGGTTAAAGGAAGACACATTTCGGTTGAATGCATTCAGTTGTGCAACTGACTAGGTCTGCTAAATGGCATATTTTTATTTTATTTTTATTTTTAGGTATCCCCTTTCCCTTGAGCTCCTCAGTCCAGAGAGTGATTTATTGCACACTGTCCTACACAACACAGCTCCCATGGGCTTTCCCCCCAGGCATTACCAGCTGATGCTTGCACATAATGAGCCCAATGGGGATTACTGCTCAGCAGCTCTGTGCTCTATTCCAGGAGTCTGGATGATGAAGCCAATATAAGTTAAGGGCTTTATAACTGTTATCATTTGAAGAGTTTCCAGAGAGTTAGTCACAGTAATCCCTCTCCACTTTCATTGTGTGGGATAGAGAGGATTTGGAGAGCAAGAGATGAAGAGTAAAAGTCTCTTACTAAGGAACAGGTTGATATTTCCTCCCCATATAGAGAGACGTGATATGACTGAAGAGCTGATTTTCACTAGTGTGCACACATACATACATACATACACACACACACACATATACACACACATATACACACACACATATACACCAAAAAAAAACGCTAGGTTCTGAGCTTTCCCACCCGAAACCAGGAAGAAGCCTGGTGAGTTTGCCAGCTTCTGAGCCAATCAGAAGAGAGGCTGCCCTAGAGTTGACCTTTTGGTGTGTTTACTAGAGGATCATTCCACTTCCTGCCAGTCGGACACAGCATGTGGCTTCACTGCAATTAGGAGTCAGGTGGGGAACCCCTGGTTAGTCCACAAAAACAACATTAGCATTTGTTCACATTTGTTCTTTAGAGACATGCAATGTTTAACAGAGTTTTACAATAGTACTAATACAGGGCCAAAGCAAACAACGCTGAATTAATTATCATGAAATTACATCAAACAGTGAATAACATAAGAGCTTAGTATTCAATGCACCAATTTGTTGTTCATGTGTGCTCCCACCAGGGGCTGCTAGTGAGCAGAGTGCCCCAAAGGCAGAGGTGATGCTGCTTAAGGCCGCTACACACTTCACGAAACAGAGCGACGGAGCGTCGTATACGGTCCGTTACAAAATTGTAACCAGAGTGAAAGAGAGATATTGAGAGTATTTATTAGGATCACCATTAGCGCTACTCTTCCTGGGGTCCAAACAGTGTTAAAACAATTACATCACAGCAAAACACAACAACAGCCTACATCATCAATAACACAATACATCATACAATACATTATTACTCTATTATACAATATTTACAATATAAAATCCACAATACCACAACATTGCATTGTGTGTGTGTGTAGAGTGTGTGTGCATATGCGTGTTTGTGTGTATATGTGTGTCTCTTCACAGTCCGCGTTGTGCCATGAGTTGCTGTTTTATCTGTTTTTTTCAATCTGATTTTACTGCTCGCTTGAGTTACTTGATGTGGAAGAGTTTCATGTTGTCATGGCTCTATGTAGTACTGTGCATTTCCCAGAGTCTGTTCTGGACTTGGGGACTGTGAAAAGACCCCTGGTGGCATGTCTTGTGTGGTATGTATGGGTGTCTGAGCTGTGTGTTAGCCATTTGAACAGACAGTTTGGTGCTTTCAACACATCAATACCTCTCACAAAGACAAGTAGTGATGCAGTCAATCTCTCCTCTACTTTGAGCCAGGAGAGATTGACATGCAGGTTATTGATATTGTCCCTCCGTGTGCATTTAAGGGCCAGCCGTGCTGCTCTGTTCTGGGCCAACTGTCATTTGCCTATGTTTTTCTTTGCGGTACTTGACCATATAACTGGGCAGTAGTCCAGGTGGGATAAAACTAAGGGAGTTCTTACTGCTCTTTGCCTTAGAGTGGGTGAGTGACTAATCTTTTCATTTTTTTTAGCAATCACTCTTTTCCAGAGCGACTAACAGTTAGTGAGTGCATACATATTTTTTTTATTTTTCATACCCTCTGTGGGAATCGAACCCTGGCCTTGCAAACGCCATGCTCTACCAACTGAGCTACATCCCTGCCAGCCATTCCCTCCCCTACCCTGGACGACGCTGGGCCAATTGTGCGCCGCCCCATGGGCCTTAGACCACTGCGCCACTCGGGAGGCTCATCCACTTACACATAGTACCAAGAGCTTTTATATACCGTCAGCATTAGCTATACAGTTTTGTGCTTTTGTGGTAACTAATCCGATATGGGTGTGTAGTTCAACGGTGGAGAACGTTTTCATTGCAAGGAAGTGTGAAAACAGTTGTGCATCATTATTCCACTATTGTCGTGCCAACGATGGTATGTTAGTAATGATTTACCATCCCTCTTTTATCCCCCTCTCTCTCTCCCTCCTCTTTCTAGGTCTGTGGTTTGATCTGGAGGTGTCCTATGCTGGTTCCTTCATCATGACCCTGGAGACCAAGATGAACTTGGCCCGTCTGGGGAAGGAGGGAGAGCGGCTGGGGGAGCAGGGGAAAGAGGGGTGAGTATGGAGGAGGGAGAGGGGCTGGGGGAGCAGGGGAGAGAGGGGTAAGGACATAGAGATAGACTGAATATAATATGTTCTATTTACATACTGTATGTGGTTAAAAGAGAGCACTCAAGGAGATATATATATTTTTTTAGTCATTTAGCAGACGCTCTTATCCAGAGCGACTTACAGTTAGTGAGTGCATACATTATTTTATGCTGTCCCCCTGTGGGAATCGAACCCACAACCCTGGCGTTGCAAACGCCATGCTCTACCAACTGAGCTACATCCCTGCCAGCTAGGGGTGTAACGATCCATCTACTACATCGATGTATCGATTTATATTCCTATGATCCAACTACATCGATCTGTGCTCGGCGAGTTGGCCTTTTGGACAACATATATCAATCTAACATCGTTTTAAAATGTAATAAATCGATTGTATCGATACTAGGAAATAACCCATTGGATTTAAGCACGTCAGACACAGTTTCAGTCACACTGGTTGAATTTTTGGCTAAAAGGTTACTGAATCGATTTCAAGTCACTGAATCGTTTCGGATCGTATCGTTCTAAATGAACCAATATCGTCCTTGAATCGTATCGACAACCACGAATCGTGATACAAATCGAATCGTTGTTAAAACGAATCGTTACACCCCTACTGCCAGCCATTCCCTCCCCTACCCTGGGCCAATTGTGCGCCGCCCCATGGGTCTCCCGGTCACGGCCGGCTATGACAGAGCCTGGATTCGAACCAGGATCTCTAGTGGCACAGCTAGCACTGCAATGCACTGCCTTAGACCACTGCGCCACTCGGGAGGTTATTATCAAATCTTAAAATCAAGTACTTACTTATATAGTACTTTAAAGTATGTGCATTGTTTTTGGTTATGTAGGCAATCACATATGACAAATTAGTGCCATTCAGGATGTATGATCATGAACAGAGTGGTTTAGCAACACCTTTTCTAAATACTTAATGGCTCCATTCACTGCCTGAGTTTATCTGGAACTGTCAAAGTGTTTTGTTTGACTTCCAACAATAATGCAATTAGTCAATTAGTGGAGGCTGGGAGGGGATAATGAGAAGTAACATTTTTTGTTGTAAATGTAGGATCAACAGCATGGCTTTGTCAGCACACAGCACTGAGCATGTGCTAATAGCTGAATTACTATTGATAGGGTTTGTTCAGTGTTGTTCTATGCTGGTCATGGGGACTAATAGGATTTGCAGGCTTTTGTTCCAGCCCAACACATGATTCAACAACAGGTGTGTTAGTGCTGGGCTGGACCAAAACCCTGCACCGCATGAGTAGGATTGAAAACACTGGGTTTGAATGAGAGGCATTGTTAACTGTCACATTTGTCTCTTTTTCTCTCCTTCCTTCTTTCTTTCCTTTATTCCCTCTCTCTCTGGACTCTACCTCTGACCTCTGTGGATGTCTTATTGCTGGTGAGTTTGGGAAAGCTTTCTTTCTGCCTGGTGTACTGAAATCATCCCTCTTTTTTTTCCTTCTCATATTTCACCCTCTTTTGTCTCATGGAATCAGCTTCCCTGCAAGCCAATCGATCCTTTAGATGCCTTGGCAGGGAAGTCACCTGGTCCCAGATTTGTTTGGGCTGTCTTGCCATCTTCAATGGCAGTGGTCACCAACCTTTTCTGAGTAAAGATCACTTTCTCAGGTATATGATCACACTGGTAATAGATCATTTGTTGTATTACTTGTAAGGCACAGCTGAGTGAGCATAACAATTATTATAAAACAATTTTTACTGGACTGATGGCCTGCATCTGATGGTCAGTCTGAGGGGAGGAAAGGGGACAGTCTTCCAGCTGATGGCGAAACTCGCATTGCATTATTTCTGCCTCATGCACCAATTTGTTGTTACTGCTATGACCAGAGAAAGTGAAATATTCCTAGATATAAAAGACACAAGCCGCTAATAATAACAATGCAAGCTTATCGGAAACACTTTGCTATAGGCTTCAATGCAGCTGCAATGCTAGTTGTAGCATAAGTTGAAGTAGGGAGGACGAAGATTTTATTGGTTAAAGTGTTGACAATGCTGAATAACAACTTAAACGTGAACTTACTCATAAAAACAGCAGCTCTTTGCTGTATTCGTTGACTCTCTCTCTAGTCATGGTTTTAAACCTTTTGAAATCTCACAGTATCAACTTTGCTGTGCGTTCAAGGCTTTTTTTTATAGTCTGGCTTGAGGAAACTGTGCAGACACAGTGATCTGAGCTATCTGATTGGCCAGTGGTAGGCCTATAGGTGGTGACCACTGTCCTATGGCTTGCAAATGACCATAGGAATTGGCAAGACAGCACTACAGATGTGGGCTATTTCCCAGCCGAGGCCTCTGAGGGATCGTTCTTATTAGGGGATTTGTTGATCGTCTTTGAGCTGCTTAGCAAATGCTCTTCTGAGTGTACTTGGTTTGACGAAAAGCGAAGAAAATCCTTCTGCAAACAGTGGGGATGGCCTTGTGAGCAGAAACATGACTGCTCATGCTGTACCACATGGGAGTCGTTTAGGCTTTAGTCTTGGGTAAATGTTAAATGTTAGTCCCCAGTTCAGGACTGAATGACTGTCAATACCTCAACTTTGACCGATTTGAACAAGCTGCTGTGTCCAAACTGGATTTGCTGAGGGCTTCCTAGGCACGAATGCTGCCAACACTGCTCCCCAATAACAATAGACAAATGTTCCTCCTCATTTTCATCTGTTTTCCACTTCCATTTCTTAAAGCTGACTAATACTCATCACCTTTGTTCTCATGTTTTATGTGTCTGTGCAGGCCCAGACCTCGGGCCTACTGCCTGGCGGACAGTGATGAAGAGTCCTCCAGTGCTGGATCGTCTGATGAAGAGGATCCCCCAGAAATCCCCATGGACATGCTGGGGGCGGAGGGGTGAGAGAACATCATTAGCATCAGACTGTGTCTGTCTCTCTTTCCATTAGTGTGTTTTTATCGACTTTAGAGACTCTTTATAGCACTAATTGGTGAATTGCATCTCATTTTAGCTGTTAGAATATTACAATGAAGAAGCTACAGAGAACACAGTCAATTATGTAGGCTAATAATTGTGCAGCAATTGTCGGTTACACTTTATTTTACAGCCCGTTTTAAGGTATTGTCCTAAGTACCACAAACAGATACAGGCAGGAGCTGCTTTCCGGCCCAGAGTGACAGAATGTACCCACTCACTGCCTTGTATCGTGGGAGGAGAGAGAGACTGATGAATAACTGATGATGCTGACTCACTCCCTCCTCTTCCTTTTCCGACACCTCTTTCACCTCCTTCACTTCCCCTTATCCTTCCTTCTCCTCCTCTCCCTCGTTCTCATCTCCTTCTCCTGCTCTTTCTGCTCTTTGTCCTCTCCTTCTCTCCCTTCTTCCTCCTCATCTCCCCCTCCTCCTATTCCTCCATCTCCTCCTCTTCCTCCTCCCTCACAGTTTCGTCGGAGGCCACCGGCCCAGTAAGATCATGCGGTTTGTGGACAAGATCGCCAAGTCCAAGTACTTCCAGAAGGCCACGGAGACAGAGTTCATCAAGAAGAAGATCGAGGAGGTGTCCAACACGCCCCTGCTGCTCACCGTGGAGGTGCTGGAGTGCCGCGGGACGCTGGCCGTCAACATACCACCCCCACCCACTGACAGGATATGGTACGTTCCGTCCATGCCCACCTCCCCCACTGACAGGATAATGGTACGTACCAATACCTTCATACAGTTACATACCACCTCCCCCCACTATTAGGATATGGAACGCCCCGGCACCTTCACAAAGTATACATAACACCTCCCCCCGCAGACAGAATTTGGTACGTTCCACTCCAGGGGTAAGGTCTGAATATTGAATATCCAGTATGAATATTCAGGTTATTCATCTATAGAGATATAGCAGGGCTTAGCCTGGCTTGTTGACACAGTAGCCCACATGTCCTCTGCTGGTCATATAAATTAAGTAGAGGAGTCAAAGCATTATTTGCCACCGAAATGTATTTTATATTTATTTAACTTTTAATTATGAAAAATATATTCAAGATTTCAAACATTTTATTTTAAGTGAGCTGTTTTTACTTACTTTGACTTTCAGGAAGACTAGACTAGTAGCTTACTAGTTCAATGGGTGTAAGAGAAACCTTCCCCAGGATATTAGTATACAGTAAGCCAATGGGTGTAACAGAGTAAACCTTCCCCCTCCAGGTATGGCTTCAGGAGTCCCCCCCACTTGGAGCTGAAAGCCCGGCCCAAGCTGGGTGAGAGGGAGGTCACGCTGGCCCACGTCACCGACTGGATCGAGAAGAAACTGGATCAGGAGTTTCAGGTAAACTGAGACCAGGGAGAGTAGAGCAATAACGTCTCTCTACTTGGATTATGTAATAATTGTAGTGTGTGATCTGAAATCCAGGAGCTTTGACTGAGTTTTTCCTGAACACGGGATCTGCCTGGGAACATCTCTGGGCTCTATAGTCTTTCTTGGTCAGAAAGATCTAAGCCCCCCCTAACTATTTGTTAAAACAATTTGATTAATCATATCATCACATTAATGTAACTTTTTAGTTCAGTATGGGTCGAAAGCTTTGCATTTCTCTTAGCTTTGCATCTCTTCCCTTGTCAAAAAAGTGAATGTCTTCCCAGTGTTAGACAATGATGGGAATGGGACAACAGAAAAGTGGTGCGTTATGTATTTACAGCAGCCCACCAAGCTGTTCTTCAAAGACAGTGTGATGTGGCTCTCTGTCTTAATCTAATGATCAGGCTGCTCCTAGAACTCAAACATGCAGACAAAAGGCTTATCATAAATGCAATAAAATATTCTTAGCACCCCTTTAGCTTTAAGTGTTTTCAGTTTTACACCTAGTTACTCAAATTCTCATTTTTGTTCTCACAGAAAATATTTGTGATGCCAAACATGGACGACCTCTGGCTACCCATCATGCACTCTGCCATGGACACCCGTTCCAACACCAACCTGGTTACTGTGACAACAACGACCGATGCCTTGAGGGACCCAGACCTCTCGGAGCCTGAGCTCTTTGACATGTGAAGACAACAAGACTCTCCGTTTCCAGGGTGTTGCTAAGGATAAGTCATTAGCCATCCCGGTAACCACTGGTGCCAGCACCGCGGTGGGCGGGGCTTACTGTCCTCCCCTCAGGACAGTGGGCCAATCCCACAGCCACTCCAGACTGTGGCTACTCTACCAGGAAGTGAAAAGGGACAGAGCGAGATGGAGAGAGAGACAACCTGCTTACTTCTCACTTGGTTGGGACATACTGCATCATTGGTTTGAGGGAATATTAATCAGAGGATGGTGTCAATCAGACAGGTCATGGACATGGATTCACCTGGAGACAGACAGACCATTTGGATTATAAGTGTGTGTGGTCAGACAAATTGCAGTGCAGTGTAAACTGAAGAACCACACTACCTGTGATGTACAGCAGCTGCACCAAACATCATAGACGAACATGAAATGTGTGTGTAGTAATCTGAGTCATTGATATGCCCTGCATTTCTTTTTCAATTGAGTTTCAGACCGAAACCCATGAAAAAAGGATGGGTGTAGATGCTCCTAGAGAGAATGCTGTGTGTGAGTGATTTGTCATATGCTTCATCATCTAACAATTGTGCAAGTTCTCCCACTTAAAAAGATGAGAGAGGCCTGTAATTTTCATCATAGGTACACATCAACTATGACAGACAAAATGAGAAAAAAAATTCCAGAAAATCACATTGAATTTATTTGCAAATTATGGTGGAAAATAAGTATTTGGTCAATAACAAAAGTTTCTCAATACTTTGTTATATACCCTTTGTTGGCAATGACACAGGTCAAAGTTCAAACGTTTTCTGTAAGTCTTCACAAGGTTTTCACACACTGTTGCTGGTATTTTGGCCCATTCCTCCATGCAGATCTCCTCTAGAGCAGTGATGTTTTGGGGCTGTCGCTGGGCAACACAGACTTTCAACTCCCTCCAAAGACTTTCAATGGGGTTGAGATCTGGAGACTGGCTAGGCCACTCCAGGACCTTGAAATGCTTCTTACGAAGCCACTCCTTCGTTGCCCGTGCGGTGTGTTTGGGATCATTGTCATGCTGAAAGACCCAGCCACGTTTCATCTTCAATGCCCTTGCTGATGGAAGGAGGTTTTCACTCAAAATCTCACGATACATGGCCCCATTCATTCTTTCCTTTACACGGATCAGTCGTCCTGGTCCCTTTGCAGAAAAACAGCCCCAAAGCATGATGTTTCCACCCCCATGCTTCACAGTAGGTATGGTGTTCTTTGGATGCAACTCAGCATTCTTTGTCCTCCAAACACGACGAGTTGAGTTGTTACCAAAAAGTTCTATTTTGGTTTCATCTGACCATATGACATTCTCCCAATCCTCTTCTGGATCATCCAAATGCACTCTAGCAAACTTCAGACGGGCCTGAACATGTACTGGCTTAAGCAGGGGGACACGTCTGTACTGGCTTAAGCAGGGGGACACGTCTTGCACTGCAGGATTTGAGTCCCTGGCGGCATAGTGTGTTACTGATGGTAGGCTTTGTTACTTTGGTCCCAGCTCTCTGCAGGTCATTCACTAGGTCCCCCCGTGTGGTTCTGGGATTTTTGCTCACCGTTCTTGTGATCATTTTGACCCCACGGGGTGAGATCTTGCGTGGAGCCCCAGATCGAGGGAGATTATCAGTGGTCTTGTATGTCTTCCATTTCCTAATAATTGCTCCCACAGTTGATTTCTTCAAACCAAGCTGCTTACCTATTGCAGATTCAGTCTTCCCAGCCTGGTGCAGGTCTACAATTTTGTTTCTGGTGTCCTTTGACAGCTCTTTGGTCTTGGCCATAGTGGAGTTTGGAGTGTGACTGTTTGAGGTTGTGGACAGGTGTCATTTATACTGATAACAAGTTCAAACAGGTGCCATTAATACAGGTAACGAGTGGAGGCCAGAGGAGCCTCTTAAAGAAGAAGTTACAGGTCTGTGAGAGCCAGAAATCTTGCTTGTTTGTAGGTGACCAAATACTTATTTTCCACCATATTTTGCAAATAAATTCATTAAAAATCCTACAATGTGATTTTCTGGAGAAAGAAATTCTCGATTTGTCTGTCATAGTTGACGTGTATGGGCATTGTGAGACAGTCTATCCCTCTCTCCGCCCCCTCTCCCTCCATTTTGCTGCCTGTGTCATCCATCGCGTGGCATTCCTTATGCAAACAGGTCAACGCCACTGTGCATCGATCAACAATACCAGCTGAAACCCCTCACCATCCTACCCCCAAAAGAACTCATACTGCAGAAGGCAGGCTCATGTGGTAGTTACTAAATAGCCTGGGATGAAACCTTGCCTGAGACCTGAAGATGTGTGTTGGATCCTGAAGATAATGTGTAAGCTTTAGCTCAGCATGCTCACGCACTCTTGTGGCATGGGTATGAAACCGGGGTTGTAGCCCGGGTAGGTCACAGATGTAGGCTACATATGGTAGTTACTGACTGTATAGCTTGGGAGCTTTCATCAAACGCATAAGGCCTTCAGTGTCTTCTGTCCACCATTGCCTCAGCCATTCTGACTCAAAGTCACACCACATTGTTGACAAGGTGTGCAAATACCAACCATAAATCTATGTATATTCACAATGGTCTTAGAGCTATGATGTCAAAATAGATGTGTGTAGACTGGAGACACAAGGTCTAATGAATGTACCTGTACATGTAAAGCAGGCAGTTCCCTAACTGGTTAAAATATAAAGGACCCTAATGAGACTGCTGACTTTGGGCTCGATTCAATTAGGTCCGCTTTAGACGACATCCGCATAACGGTTGTTTTGGCGGTGTCGGAAGTGGAACTGCGTTAGAGATGTCAAATCCAAAAGCGGCTTCTGGAATTATACCTAAAGCAGACATTGCCATTGGTCGCATTAAGAGAAATCTCATGCAGCCTCGTTTACAAGTTTGAACACTGGAATGTGAGATATTTTCTACACCTTGATTAGGCCGATAGAAATCTTCATAATTTCGTTTAATGATGTTGAATTTGAGCATCATTATTTCTATAGACTTTACTCATTCTAAACTTCTAATGGGTGGGACGGTGTGGCTTTGTGACAATGATCACAAGAGCAGCTGCTCACCGATTTGACAGCTCCAACGCAGTTACACCTCAGACACCGCCAAAACATCAGCTTTTCCTGGTGTAGTCCATCGGCGGTTAACGCTTGATCTGATTGAATCTAGTCATTACTTTGGCAGTGGTAGGAGATATTTCCTGAGTTCATTTTCTATCAACTGTTTTAAAATGCATTTGTCTCTTGTGGTCTTCTAGGCCAAGAAGCACTTTCACACACCTCTTTTTAAAACTGTTTCTCAACCTTTTTTGTACCAGCAACTGGCAAATCTGGTGTCTTATTCAGGGGGTGAACTTGTACAGCAAGTCTCACGATACAGAAACAAGAGATAGGCTCCTGCCCTGTGATCCATTCTAGTTCGGACAAGGCTTGCTTAGTTACTGGCAAAGCTATGTTTTTCCTCCTTGGAGCACCACTGCGCTATATTACTTAATTGTCAGACATCCATCCAAGGGACTGATCAGCAACATCCAAGGGACCGGAGGTCCACGTTTGCCAGCTACGACACATTTACATATTTCACACACTCAGATTCTGAACATGTCGTTTAGATGCCTGTAGCTGGTGATTCAAATGGCCATAACTAATGTCAGCCATACCGCTCAGCCAATGGAAATGTGAGCCATTCAGTAAATACAATGACTGCTTTTCTTATTTATCTATTTCCTGTCTTGAAATACTTCACTGTATGTCTATGTACATATGAACAATATAAAACAAATTCAAATATCAAGTTGCAATGACTGGCATAGATGTTTACATTTCAGATTCATGAAATTTGCCAAGAATAACTACTTTGTTTACAGGTGATATTTGGGTTTTGTTTGCCACAACTTTGTTCAAATGTTTGTGTATGTTGGAAAGCTGTGTGTATGAGGCAGAAGTGCAGTTTGAATAACCAGACATTCCCCTCAAGTTGTTGGTTATGAAATATGTTTTAAGCTGTTATACCATGTGTGCGCGAGGCCATGTCCTTGATCTTTTCTCACGCGCTACTGTGTTGTCACATTTGCAGTGAAGAAAAATCAGGCATTGCAGTTTTCAGTGATAATGTTATGACAGCTCTGATCAATAAAACATTTTGCTTGCTTTTGTGTAACTAATCATACTTTGACAATGGTAGTTGAGCACCCTAGGCCAGGATAAGCTCTTTCAAACTACATGTGTAGTAGTTCAGGGCATAAGGACTTTGTGCTTTTGACTTAGTGACATTCGCCCTACAGGGTAAAACATACCCGTGAGTAGTAGGTAGAACTAAATAAAAATTGGTGATCAAATCTGCCTATAAACAACATGTATACTGGTTTATTCCTTCTAGCTCAAGAACGGGAGGGGGAGGGATACCTCAAGTCACCTAAAGCCTTAGGAAGTATATTCACATTAATCAGCAACAGAAATAGCACACGCCGTGACAAATATCCATGATTAGATGTGAGTTGCATTTAAAAGAGAAACTTGGGATGAAATGCCAAGTAACCCCAGTTATAACAAGCCTTTGATTTGCTCTTGCAGCTGTAGCTTGGCCTATGGAGCCATGGAGAGGGCTCCGCAGGTTCAAAGACAGTGCATACAGTTACCATAGAAATTAAGACAAGAAAAGATTCCACTACAAATGTGACTTTATTCGACAATTTAATCATGTTCAATAAATTGAGTTGTAGTAGTTGAAGTCTCTCCATGGTATCCATTCGTTTTCCATCACATGCCACGTTGGACACTGGACTTATTCCATCACTGCATCTAGATCCATGAAAAGATGCACACATAAGCCTACTATTTCAAACGCAGACAGTCAGTTTGATCTGAGAATAGGTTAAGTCAGAATACAAAAAGGTAACTTCACCGTCAATCAGAAGTCTAACGCGTAAAACATCATTCATAACCCCCAATTGCACATTACAGAAGTCAAGATCACAGTATTCACCTCCACATCTTTGAGGGAACACCGAATGATGCAGGGTTCCTTCGTGGAAAGGAGTCACAACTATTAACGGCTTACAGTCACCTGATCCAAGACTTGGGCCACATTAACTTGAAGATTCCCTGAAGTGGCAAAGAAACATAGGCAAGAAGTCAGTTAATTTCACCAAGGCAGGAGACCACCACATTAATCTCAATGCCTGGGTTATGAGTCAGAACAACAAAAGTTAACTTCACTGTCAATCATAAGTCTAACGCGTTAAAACATCATTCATACAACCATGGATATTTTCATAGGATTGGCATTGCATGCAACTACCTCAAGAGAACACCAGGGGTTCCATGGTACAACGTGGACTCAAGAGGGCCATGCTGCTGGCCACGTGCGCAGTCTCCGCACATTATTGTTGTGCTGTAATGGCCTCCGATTTCCTGAGGAATAGAATCAAAACGTTAACGAAAAAAATGATTTGGCATCAAGGATGTTTAAAGTCAATCCAGATGTCGATAAATGAACCCTACCTCGAACTAAGTCGTAAGTAGCAAGTTAGCCATTAGCTCCTGGCCTTTTTACTAACTTCCTTGCCAAATGGCATATAAAGATTAGTTGACATTCCCTCACTACAGTTTTCAACGCATAATCTTTTAGCGTCCATCAAACAATGCGGGTAAACAAAATTAGAGTTTAGTCTGCAGTTTGATACATGCATCTGCAATAAGCCACATGCTCCATGTCCCTCTTGCTTAATGAAATGTAATGTGGCCGGAAGACCCCCCGAATAATTTATACTTGCTTGCAAAGCATATCCGGTAGCTAACTGTGTACTTATTGGTTGAGAGACATCCTAGAATTTCCCCCTCCTCCACTGTTTCGGACATCGCAATCTAAGTCCAACCCCCACATATTCATTTCAGGAAGATGCAAGTTGGCTAGGCACAGTGCTAGATACACTTGAGAACCGAAGCAAGAAGAATAGCAACGCCACAGACAAACTGAAATGTTTTGATACCTTAACTCTTTGGGAAAGCCTCTTTAAAACTTGGTTGTATCGACGCATTGTATTCTATGTAACTCGTACTACCCCGGTTGGACTGTATGATGGACTGGACGGTTAGCAGTCGGGCCCTAGTATGGTGCATTTTCACGTTACTGTGTAGTATTGACCCACTTCAAATGGTAAGTAGATAGCTAACCTAACTTACGATACTGAACCTTAGTGGGAGTAATTGGCCTATTAGCTAGCTAGTTAGCTAATGGGTTTAGGGGTTAACTAACAAGAGAAAAGACGGGAATGACACCACCTAGCTAATATTTAGAACTAGTTAGCTAGCTGATATGTTGGGCTAAATGCTGGTTAGCTAGCTAACTTAGCTAGCTAACAACCAGTAATGTATTTTATGCCTAGCTAACTAGTGTCAACTCCAACTAAGCTAAGGCCAATATTGTATGTTGTTACTAAATTGCTTGAAGTAGATACTGTAGTATTAGCTAGTCTCCTGTTTTTGTAGTAGGGAACATTGGTTACTTTTTATAAAAAGTTTACAGATAATGTCTTCTTGTACAACATTTATCCAACAAGCTAGCTAGCCATTAAGTCACACTAGTTGGCTAATCAAATCATGCCATAAGATAGATGAAGCCAAGGCATTAGAGCCAGGTTAGGGACCCTAGCAAAATTGATAAGATTAGACTTTAGACCCCCATGTAAAGAGTCTGTCTGTAAAGACCAATCAGTTGAAGTTCCATCGGCTAACTGGTTGCTGGATCAAGCCCATTGCTCTGTGTAAAATGTTTCTTTCTAAATTGTGAAAAACCATCAAAGAAAATATTGTGTATAGTGCTTTCAAAATTAACTAGAAAAGGTGTGTCCATTCCATGTTGGCCTCTTGCCTTTTCCCTAGTTATCAATCCAGTGAAATACTGCACTGTCTCGATCTGCCTAGCTACAGTCATTAACTCCCACCCCAGACAGAGGTGTGAGGAAGAGCTGCTGGAGATTAAAGCCATAGCTTGCTGGTTCAGCATTTGCAATTATAGGTTTATAGTTATTAGCCACACCACAGTATATAGGCTAGGCATACATAGCCTGTGTAGTTATCTATGTAACTTTCACCTACGATTTTATACCCAATGGATGGCTAATACAGACCATGCAAAAAATATCCAATTTATGACAGGAGGACATGGTGTCTTTTTACCATGGAAGATGGATTCTATCCAACATACAGCTTTATGAATAGCAGTGCACAGATGTTTGTTTAACACACTCTGCGAGCTAGTAATTCAGCATGCTTGTTCTGGTTGTGCTCACACTCTTGCTGTCAGTCTTGTAGATAGAGCTGGGCGATATGAACAAAAATTCATATAACGATAAATTGACTGAATTATCATAACGATAAATTGAACGATAAGTTTATAACATTAATGTGCACCACAGTTATATTTTTATATTATCCTTAATACTTCTACTACTTTTAATGTTGTAGCTATCAGTTGTCCCATCAACAATCAGCCATATTAGCAAACTTATTTACATTTAAAACTTTGAATTTCTCTAGTAGGGCCCTATAGGGTATTTATCGTAATGAATGATATCAGAAAAATGTCCACGATAAGTGGTCGGTTTGATTGGTGTTGATCATTTTCGGTTTATCGGCCCAGCTATACTTGTAGGCAGTGCTAACCATGTGCATATAGACAGAGTTCAGTCTGTGTATACTCTGTGTTTGACTGTGTGTGTGCGCCCTATCTTAGCACAAGGCCAATGGCTTTGCAGGCACTTTGTGCGGTTGTATTAGGGTCTACACATGCGGCAGAGACAGTGCCACTGTGAATGTTGACGAATGGAAGGAAGCTCAAATACCTGTGCACAGAAAAATCACAACACAAACATGCTTGATGTTTTAAGTCTCCCTGGGGTCTCTGCACACACTAATATCTGGCCATCCGACCTGCCTACGTGTGCATTGCATGTGGGCAAAATAAGTAGACGGTTAAAAGAAATCCACCGTGAAATTTAATGCAAGGTGGTGATGAGGGCAATATGCTCAAGATAGGACACAGGTTGTTCAACACAAAATATACATAACCTAGTCATGCATGGCCATTTGTACACCATGTCAGTTTAATTTCTTCACCTTCCCCAAAAACATTTCCTCTTTGATTTTGATCTGTGGTCACCAGAAGTGAGATGATAATGATCGTCATCAGTTCCTGTGTTAATTCATGCCTGCACACAAACTGGAGCACTACAGCAAGTAGGGAGGAAACATTCAGACCGTTTTGGAAACTTTCCATTGAAAGTGAATTAATGGAGGCAGTTTAATAAAGCACTTGACAGAGTGAAGCAGTAAATACCTTGTACTGAGGATTTATTCTCGATGACAAAAAAAACTCAAATTGTAAAAGTTGCTGTCAATAACACCCCTTCTAGGCAATGGTATATATATAGTAGGTAAATTAACAGGGAACCTGCAGATGTGGCGATGAAGGGTCAGAAGCTCATTTCTACATTCAGTTCCACTAAATATTTCCGAAGCAGCTTGTACTGTGTCCGGTTTCTGTTCTCCTATGTCCCCTTCTGGAGGGTGCATCTAGCGTCAATGTTTTTCCACTATTTTTTTGATTAGGCCTATGAATTTCGTAGGCTAGTGTCTCACTTAGTGATTACAGTGGTTGAGAACTAGCATACATCTGGTCCCTACTTTGTATCACATTTGAACACATTTAGGTCTAAGCCTAGATGCTATGTAAAAAATAAACTTCTCACCAGTCTCTACCAGTGAGAACTTTAGCTCTAAGCATCAGTAGCATCACATTACACTGAAAAAGTACTTGTTTTCCCCTCCTTTGTGTTCCCTCTTCCCTGGAAGGCTTTGATTCCCATTGACTAATGGTGGGAAACCTGCCAATCACATGTACCTGAGGACAACTCCAGTCATGGGGTGTATGACATGGTGTTGAGCACAATGACAATATCACTGCACCAGAACTCTTAGGCACATTCATTCCCTATCTCTTTAACAGAAAATGGCCTCATTGCAGAGGGAGAGAGGCAGAGTGAAAGCTCAGAACCTGCCAATAATTTTGTTTCGCCAAGTTTTGGGTACATTATGTAACCCTAGCAGTGTTACGCAATGTCTGACTTCTTTCCCCTGTAAAAAGCATTAGAACATGTAAACCAAACGGGGCCCCGCTCCAATGACCCTCTCTCTCTACTCCCTCTGCCAGATACAGACCAGTATAGAACTGAACTCCCCTCCCCTATACTATCAATCATACCTAACAACCGCGTACAGATGTCCCAAGGATGTACTTTTAGGCCTTAAGGTGTTAAACGTTGTTTCGAACAGAGTGCTGATTCTCACAAACTCCAACCGTCCAGCAGATGTTCCAGAGATGTTGATGATTTTGAAACAGAGCAGGCAGGAGGTTTGTGGGGATGAATAATAATAAACTGACATTGATGGTTATTGTTTTACTGTTCCTGGTACAGTTCTTATGAGGTGACAAGCCAGTGGGAACAGCCACAGGTGTCCAGTATTGACACAAGCTCTCTCCGGTGTGTAGACTAAGATTACAGCAGGGTTAACTGAGCAAAAAAACCCAGGAACACACACGTTTCCTTTTTTTACCAAAGACATTTTAAGATATACTGCTAAATAAATGAGCTGTAGCTAGCAAACAGCACCTAAGTGAAGTGGTTAGGTTATTATTGCTTTGAGCTCATCAGATAGGCCTAGCTTCATACAGTAACCTTGGTTTTCTTTCGTTACTCCAGGAGGCTGAGTGTGTTTGGTCTGGTCCATTTGGTAGACTGTAGACAGCTGGGAGGAAGACAACATAACAAGGCTGTTCTCCCTCATAAGTGGCTGAGTGCTGGGTAGGGCCTCTAGTAATTATAGATCAGTGATCTGCCTCTAACAGAAACAGCATGGGCTAGTTACACTATCCTGATGGCCCCTTGGAGGGGATGTTTCATCCCATAGAGTTAGAAATGAAATCCGTGTCTCAAGTAGTTTAAGACATTCAATTCTATGTTCTACTGTCCTAACTTGGGTTCGGCTGGAGGAGTGGGGATGGGGTTAGTGGGGTAGGTTGATACACAGAGGTCAGCCACGGTACTATAATTACTCTGGCCCGGGGCCTCCAGAGTGGTGCAGTGGTCTAAGGCAGTGCTAGCTGTGCCACTAGAGATCCTGGTTCGAGTCCAGGCTCTGTCGCAGCAGGCCGCGACCGGGCACCTATGGGGCGGCACACAATTGGCCCAGCGCCCTCCAGGGTAGGGGAGAGTTTGGCCGGCAGGGATGTTCTTGTCCCATCGCGGGCCGGGCGCAGTGCACGATGACTTGGTCGCCAGGTGTACGGCATATTGGTGCGACTGGCTTCCGGGTTAAGCGGGCACTGTGTCAAGAAGCAGTGCGGCTCAGTTGGGTTGTGTTTCGGAGGACACACGACTCTCGACCTTCGCCTCTCCCGTGTCCGTACGGTGATGGGACAAGACTATAACTACCAATTGGATACCACGAAATTGGGGAGAAAAAGGGGGTAAAATACAACAAATATATAATAAAAGATTAACTCTGGCCCTAGCTGCCTCCTTTAGCTGAGTCATGTCTATAAGGGATATATCTTTGGTGAAATTAACGTCAAAAGGTTAAAAAATGGGTGCATTTTAGTTCACCCTTTTCCTAACCTTAACCCAATTCTCTTAACCTGCTAGGGAAAAGCTTAATCCCATCTTGTCAAAACCCTTGAGCAGCAAGTGCACTCTACAGTACAGACACCCCCACCCGGCCTCTTCTTGTGCCAAAAACAAAATGAAGACTACGGATCGCCTATCAGTGTGATGTTTTTTTAAATTCTCCTTTGCACTCCCTGACCAAAGAGACTTCCAAGGAAAGAACCACCCCCTTCGCTTGACCCGGCTTCTGCTTAAAAAAGTGTGGTCAGTGATTCAAGCGCCGCATATGCCCACTTACGCATGCATACATATTTATTTCCTCACCCTCTTTCTCTGGTTGTTTCATTCTCTCTCTCCAAAATTGCTGTCCATTCCACCACATGTTGGGCTACTGAACCCAGTCTGTCTGCCCATGTGGGCTTGCGTCCTCTCCCAGAGAGAGTGATATGAGAAGGACTGGAGAGAAACACATTCACATGTCTACCTCAGTCCACTCGGTCCCTGAGTTTCACATTAAAGCACGCCGACCATGCTTGCTTTATCAGCCTGATATGGTGGCTGGGCAGATGGCAGCGTGGCTCTGTTGCAGAACTTCTAGAATCTTGGCCTCCTCCTTTAGAACCTCCTCATACCATTTGTGCACTAGCTGCACTCTTAAGTCTCCCAGTCCCAACCCCTTATCTAGCCTTCCTTCCCACTCTTATCACAGACTCCTTTTTTAAAACAAATGTGTTCAGTTAAAGGCTCTGCATGGTCAATCTGATGTCTGAAGTGGCCATACAGCATTTACTGCGATGCAGCCTCCACAGACTTCAGGGCTTTCATACTTTTTGTGCTTAGTGGAGCAGAGAAGCGCTATTGTGAAGGAAGTGAGTTTGTGTTTATACAGGACATGCCGCCCCCACCTACCATCAACCAATCATGTCAAAGCGGAGCTATACGGAGCCCTCCGCATTTGTGAGGTGCACAGCGATGCGGAGCTTGATTTGGCCTGTGCATCCCTCCGGAGGATCCGCAATTGTGTCACACCCTCCATACGAAGCCTCTGAGCACATTTTCAGATCAAGCATAAATGGGCTTTTAGGCTAAAGGTGTCTGCGTGCTTCCCATCCAAAACAGTTAAGAAAATAAATTCTCAGGGGCAAGCTGAAGTCTGTAGCCGAAGTCTACGCCCCTTCGTCTGTGATTGGTCAACAGTAGGGATTCTTCAATGAGGTGTTTGTCATTCAATGAGACAAATCATTTATGCAATTTTTTCCCCTTGAAATACTGCACCTAACATCTTAGTTAGGTGCAAAGAATATCACCTTGGCAAAAATGTCAAAATTAATGACAGATTTCTGGAGTTATCGTAGATTAATTCGGACTTTTGAGGTGTCTCAAGGTGGACAAACAGTACTATTGACGCTTTTTTCTTCTTTTTCAAGCGAATGTCTTTTAAGGGACTATGCGAGCAGATGAACCGAAGCCTTAAGTCCCCCTTAACTCCCCCTCAGGCAGGTAGCTAGCGAGACCAAACTCCTCATCTGCCTCTAAGTGTTTTACACAGCCATTTTGGAGAGGGGGTAATGTTTGGCGATATGGGGGAGCAGTTAACCCTCTGGCAGTCCATTCAGTTCATCCTCCCTACCCCGGTGTCCCAGTCTAGTAGTAGTATTCAGGATATGCATTCAATTAATGAGGGAAACAGTCCTCTTTCTCAGGATAGGCATTCCTCTGGGGCCATATAAACTGCAGGAGAGAGGATCACATGCTCTTACCGTACTATGGTTCTCTGTTATGGCAGCACTTTGCCTGTATTCCTATGTAGAGTAGACTATTTTGTGATTATGAATACATAAGTTAGTTATGTATGATCAAACTGATTTGAATCTGTGTTCAATAATACCACATTTTAATTAGTAGCAACTGTTCATCGTTCACATTTACAATGCAACAGCACACATGCGGCCTTGTCTCTGATATGGCTATAGTTTCCATAATTTTTTGTGTCTAGCAATAGAGGCCATATCAGGGCTGATATGGCCAGAACTCTTTGGTCGACAGAATGTTATTGCATTGGCTGTAGATTAAACTATTTTTGAAAGAGGTGAATACTAAGAGTAGGTCCTTGGCTCATGTTGAATACATTTACATTTTAGTCATTTAGCAGACGCTCTTATCCAGAGCGACTTACAGTTAGTGAGTGCATACATTTTTCATACTGGCCCCCCGTGGGAATTGAACCCACAACCCTGGCGTTGCAAGCGCCATGCTCTACCAACTGAGCTACAGGAGGCAGTGGGGAGGAATACCACTAAAGAAGACGTTCTTCTGTTCCCCTATAGATATGCTTTAAGTTTTTGTGTTCTGTCTTGCAGAGTTTCTGCCGAGCCAGCACCGTCTCCCTCCCTGAAAGCCTGCTCTTTGTATCCACCCTGGATGGAAACCTACACGCCGTCAGCAAGAAGTCAGGCTCTATCAAATGGACGCTGAAAGAAGGTAAGGAAGAAGAGGAGAGTCCTGAGTAATTCACTAGCACCTTTGTTTGTTTGTCTCTATCAATCTGGAGGCGCTGTTAGGTGTTCGGGTTACACCTGCGAAACAAAGCGCCATTGTGGTGTTCCACAAGAATCATACATTTAGTTTGTGAAAGTGAAGACCAGTTCTGTGTTTTGTATTTTGTTGAATGGTGAAAACCAGATTCAGAGCAGAAACATTATTTTGAGATGTAACTAATCACACAAAGTGTACGAGGCAGTGGGGAGGAGTGCACGTGTCAGCCTACTTTTTTACCTCAGTTGCGTATCATTGCATGTACTAATACTGTAATACAGCTATTGAGGCACTGAATGGTTAGAGAAATCAACACTGTTCTAGTTCCGTTCTGGTAACCGTGGGAGTAGACTGTCGGTCATAAACTACGGTAGGTGTGTTATCATTCTCAGGGCTACCTTTCATAAAGGGATGTATTGACAGATCATTTTTCACTGACTAATGGCATTTCTGAAGCATTTCTGGGTTTTTAGATAATGGTGGGTGTTTTCACTCTATTTTCTGCTCTCCCGGCACATGAGTAAATGCAGTGAACGCTTTGCTCACGCATGCTAACCTGGTAATCATTAACCGGGAGAGAGTGGGACAGATATAGTCTTTAATCATGGTCAGCCATTGTAGGCAGGGGTGAACTGCTCTGCTGTATTTGTATTTCTCGTGTGTTTTTGTTCGACTTTACTTAAGTAATAAAGCCAGAGGGGGTATGGTATATGGCCAATATACCACGGCTAAGGGCTGTTCTTAAGCACGACACACCGCGGAGTGCCTGGATACAGCCCTTAGCTGTGGTATATTAGTAATATACGTGGTATATTGGTAATATACCACAAACACCCGATGTGCCTTACTGCTATTATAAACTGGTTACCAACGTAATTAGAGCAATAAAAATACATGTTTTATCATACGTGGTATACGGTCTGATATACAGTGGGGGAAAAAAGTATTTAGTCAGACACCAATTGTGCAAGTTCTCCCACTTAAAAAGATGAGAGAGGCCTGTAATTTATCATAGGTACACGTCAACTATGACAGACAAATTGAGAGAAAACAAATCCAGAAAATCACATTGTAGGATTTTTAATGAATTTATTTGCAAATTATGGTGGAAAATAAGTATTTGGTCACCTACAAACAAGCAAGATTTCTGGCTCTCACAGACCTGTAACTTCTTCTTTAAGAGGCTCCTCTGTCCTCCACTCGTTACCTGTATTAATGGCACCTGTTTGAACTTGTTATCAGTATAAAAGACACCTGTCCACAACCTCAAACAGTCACACTCCAAACTCCACTATGGCCAAGACCAAAGAGCTGTCAAAGGACACCAGAAACAAAATTGTAGACCTGCACCAGGCTGGGAAGACTGAATCTGCAATAGGTAAGCAGCTTGGTTTGAAGAAATCAACTGTGGGAGCAATTATTAGGAAATGGAAGACATACAAGACCACTGATAATCTCCCTCGATCTGGGGCTCCACGCAAGATCTCACCCCGTGGGGTCAAAATGATCACAAGAACGGTGAGCAAAAATCCCAGAACCACACGGGGGGACCTAGTGAATGACCTGCAGAGAGCTGGGACCAAAGTAACAAAGCCTACCATCAGTAACACACTACGCCGCCAGGGACTCAAATCCTGCAGTGCCAGACATGTCCCCCTGCTTAAGCCAGTACATGTCCAGGCCCGTCTGAAGTTTGCTAGAGTGCATTTGGATGATCCAGAAGAGGATTGGGAGAATGTCATATGGTCAGATGAAACCAAAATATAACTTTTTGGTAACAACTCAACTCGTCGTGTTTGGAGGACAAAGAATGCTGAGTTGCATCCAAAGAACACCATACCTACTGTGAAGCATGGGGGTGGAAACATCATGCTTTGGGGCTGTTTTTCTGCAAAGGGACCAGGACGACTGATCCATGTAAAGGAAAGAATGAATGGGGCCATGTATCGTGAGATTTTGAGTGAAAACCTCCTTCCATCAGCAAGGGCATTGAAGATGAAACGTGGCTGGGTCTTTCAGCATGACAATGATCCCAAACACACCGCCCGGGCAACGAAGGAGTGGCTTCGTAAGAAGCATTAAGGTCCTGGAGTGGCCTAGCCAGTCTCCAGATCTCAACCCCATAGAAAGTCTTTGGAGGGAGTTGAAAGTCCGTGTTGCCCAGCGACAGCCCCAAAACATCACTGCTCTAGAGGAGATCTGCATGGAGGAATGGGCCAAAATACCAGCAACAGTGTGTGAAAACCTTGTGAAGACTTACAGAAAACGTTTGACCTGTGTCATTGCAACAAATGGTATATAACAAAGTATTGAGAAACTTTTGTTATTGACCAAATACTTATTTTCCACCATAATTTGCAAATAAATTCATTAAAAATCCTACAATGTGATTTTCTGGATTTTTTTTCTCATTTTGTCTGTCATAGTTGACGTGTACCTATGATGAAAATTACAGGCCTCTCTCATCTTTTTAAGTGGGAGAACTTGCACAATTGGTGGCTGAATAAATACTTTTTTCCCCCACTGTACAACGGCTTTCAGCCAATCAGCATTCATTTTTTACATTTTTTTTACATTTTAGTCATTTAGCAGACGCTCTTATCCAGAGCGACTTACAGTTAGTGAGTCCATACATTATAATTTTTTATACTGGCCCCCCGTGGGAATCAAACCCACAACCCTGGCATTGCAAACGCCATGCTCTACCAACTGAGCTACATCCCTGCCGGCCATTCCCTCCCCTACCCTGGGCCAATTGTGCGCCGCCCCATGGGTCTCCCGGTCACGGCCGGCTACAACAGAGCCTGGATTCGAACCAGGATCTCTAGTGGCACAGCTAGCACTGTGATGCAGTGCCTTAGACCACTGTGCCACTCGGGAGACAAGACATTCAGAGCTCGAACCACCCAGTTTATAATTTATTTTATAGTACTGCTGATATTGATTACTGCATTGTTGGAAAAGCGCTTGCAAGAAAGGTATTTCGGTGTACTTATTTTGCGCACGTGACAAGAAAAACACACTTAAATATCTAAACATCCTGTCTGAGGTTACATGATTAGAATGACCATTGGTATGATTAGCATACTAATGCAGGGTCCCTTTACTAGAAATCATGAAGCTAGACTAGTAACGTTACTGAAACACCATTTCAGATTCAAGCTGAACAAAGAATGCAAACCGTATCAGATGAGCTGAATAACAGGGAAATGGTGGATCACAAATGGATGACCTTTCATGTCAAAAGTGAAACCAGTGAGTCACACCTGATACCATACAACATCATTAATAAACATCAGAATATGGAATCAGTCACGTCTGAGCCCTGTGTGCCCGATGTTTCTCGAAATGCCCTTTAATATGAACATGGACAGGGACAGCACCAGGTCACCTTTCACACACACCTGCTGTCTTCCCTGAGGCCTAACTAACTAAAGCCCACAGCCAGGAGGTAGGCAGGTCTTCCCTGAGGCCTAACTGACTAACTCCCACAGAAGGAGCCAGGAGGGAGGTAGGAACCTGTCAGTCGGGCCCAACCCAGGGTTGGCATGATGGAGTGAGTCCCATCCCTGGTCCTGTCCCGTCCTTTTTATCCACGCCAAACTTGGTGCAAAACCACGCACACGAGTAACCTAGCAACATTCAAATCCGCGCTGATTGGTCAGAGTTCGGACGTACTCTGTGACGACGTAAATGCGCGCGAGAGAGGAAGAGTTCGGAGTTTGCGCGTGCCTGCCATGCCACGAACCGCCGGAGATGCGCAGTTTTGCGGCCTCGTTTTGAAATGAGCTAAAGGAAAGGCAAGCAACAAGTGACTGAAGATAGCTAACATTACATGATTGTCAGTAATGGTGAACTATTGGAGCTAGCTTTGCCCATTCAGCTAGAGCTAACTATGCAGCATCTATTTTAGTTGCCAACTAGCACAAATGTCATGTAGCGAAGTATCTTAATAGGCCTTTCGTAAACACTTAGATAGCTTAGTGTGGTTAACACACTACTAGACAGCTTCAGCCCAATCGGCGTTGTAAACTAGCGATAACACTTGATATAATTCACAGTTTACTTACCGCCAAAAACAATGCAACTATCCATGATGTCGATGCTATCCATCTGGTCAATCAGGCTGGCTGCAATCACTCACTAAAAAGCTACATTGTTTAATGCAACTTCATATCCAAATTAGGGGGAAATGCAGGGTATGGATGGCAATGTTTTGGTGGGGATTCCGTCTGTAGCGTTCGTTCTTTTAAAACGCAGGAACAACCGAACTCTGACCAATCAGCGCGGCTTTGAATGTTGCTAGGTTTCTTGTCGGTGTGGTTTTGCACCAAGTTTGGCGTGGATAAAAAGGACGCGGACTATGTCACTGTCCTGACCCTAATGCACCTACCAGTGACATTTATGGACACACCGGCCCAAATATACTCTTTCATACGACAACACACACACATTAATATTCAGTGTGTCCTCCCAAACAGTTATACTATCAGGTGAGGCGCATATTCAGTGAAGGGAAAGAACATTGAGGTCAGATCACAGAACACGGCTCTCTATCATGACAAATGGAGAAAACGTTCTACTAAAAAATATATAAATCTCCAGCATGGTCGTCCGTAAAATATGTCATCACCACCAGTCAGGATTGTAATCATTGTATACGCTAGTATTTTCATGGGTGGGCTTTGTTGTTCCACCTACTATGTTCTGAGTGTTGTTCCCTACTGAATGTTCCTTGGTAATACAGCAATCTGTGACACAGGCTGCGTTTACACAGGCAGCCCAATTCAGATTTATTTTCCCCCACAAATTTTTGTTTTGACCATTCAGATCTACTCACATCAGATATTTTTCAAAGCTGATCTGACTGGTCAAAATACCAATTAGTAGAAAAAATATCACAATTGGGCTACCTGTGTAAACGCAGTTCCAGGTAATCCACCCAGCCAGACCCCTTCCAGTCAGAGCAGAGGTTCCATCTGGCTGACCTTGTGTACTCGCACTGCCGCTGTGTGCGTTTGTCTAGTAGTAGTAGTAGTAATGTGTCATCACGCACTGGCCCTGTGTGTGTGCCTGTTTGGCAGGGTGGCCTGGGTGCTGGGTCGCATTCAACGTGTTGCAACATTACAGGACATTCAGATAGAAATATATGATGTAGATCAGACCTGCTTCTGTCTATCATGTAGGATAGGGAATCATGTCCGCTCTATACAATGCATTTCTATCTGCGAAGTTCAGAATACAACCTGGGTCTTTAATATGTCCCCTGTGGGCTACTGGCCACTGTTTATTTAGGCTATACTGACATCATTAGGCAAATAAGGGGCGTTGGCGTCTTATCAGTTAGGAGTTAGGGCAAGTGTGGTTTAAGGAGCTTTTTAACCTGAGACCAATACTGCAGGGGTCTATGCTGACCATTTTTACAAGGAGCACGTGTGCGCGTAAGTTGAAAAATGTAGGTGCACGCAAAGAAATTGAGGAGCACAATGAATCCTTAGATTTCTTAATTTTTCTAGGCACATGGGTGCTCCTAAATTTAAATTCCAGGTCGCACAACAAAATATTTAGTCGCATATGCAAGTAAAATGGTCTCACTGTAGATCCCTGCAATGGCTTTCCCAGGAATAGGTGTATTGTTGGTCAAGAGACAAGGAGACTGTAAAGTGCCTCTGTGATAGCATTTTTGTCTCGATGGATCCCTTTTTTGAGAAAGATTGTGTACTGTAGCCTTCGTTGTCAAATATTATTATATTACTCTCCATTCACAACATCTGCATGATTACTGTCAATGTCTCGGTTGGTGCCCTTTCTCAAGACCACCCTTTCTCAAGACCAGAGAGTGAAAGGTCCCTGACTGAAAAGTTTTCAGTAAACCTTCTGAGTTAATTCTGTGTGTGAGTAATCTTTTATGAACTGAATAACTATGGGGTTTATATTCAGACCGGAGAGACAGCAGTGTAGTGGTTCATATTGTGTACTGTAAACATGTTGCTCACTCTTGATCAACCGGTACTGTGCATCATTTGTATTGTAGTGTACTGTTCATGTCACTGATGACTGAAAGACACATTTTCTTCCCTTTTCTTCTGTGGACAGATCCTGTTCTTCAGGTCCCAACGCATGTGGCAGAGTAAGTATCATCAAGCATGTGTGTGCGTGTGTGTCAGTTTGTGTGTGTATCAGTTTGTGCATGTGTGTATCAGTTTGTGTGTCAGTTTGTGTGTGTGCGTGTGTGTCAGTTTGTGTGTGTATCAGTTTGTGTGTGTGCGTGTGTGTCAGTTTGTGTGTGTGCGTGTGTCAGTTTGTGTGTGCGTGTGTGTCAGTTTGTGTGTGTATCAGTTTGTGTACGTGTGTCAGTTTCCTGTTGCTCTCAATACACTATCTGCTGAGCATGCATACAGTGGGGAAAAAAATTATTTATTCAGCCACCAATTGTGCAAGTTCTCACACTTAAAAAGATGAGAGAGGCCTGTAATTTTCATCATAGGTACACGTCAACTATGACAGACAAAATAGAAAAAAAATCCAGAAAATCACATTGTAGGATTTTTAATGAATTTATTTACAAATTATGGTGGAAAATAAGTATTTGGTCAATAACAAATGTTTCTCAATACTTTGTTATATACCCTTTGTTGGCAATGACACAGGTCAAACGTTTTCTGTAAGGTTTTCACACACTGTTGCTGGTATTTTGGCCCATTCCTCCATGCAGATCTCCTCTAGAGCAGTGATGTTTTGGGGCTGTCGCTGGGCAACACAGACTTTCAACTCCCTCCAAAGATTTTCTATGGGGTTGAGATCTGGAGACTGGCTAGGCCACTCCAGGACCTTGAAATGCTTCTTACGAAGCCACTCCTTCGTTGCCCGGGCGGTGTGTTTGGGATCATTGTCATGCTGAAAGACCCAGCCACGTTTCATCTTCAATGCCCTTGCTGATGGAAGGAGGTTTTCACTCAAAATCTCACGATACATGGCCCCATTCATTCTTTCCTTTACACGGATCAGTCGTCCTGGTCCCTTTGCAGAAAAACAGCCCCAAAGCATGATGTTTCCACCCCCATGCTTCACAGTAGGTATGGTGTTCTTTGGATGCAACTCAGCATTCTTTGTCCTCCAAACACGACGAGTTGAGTTTTTACCAAAAAGTTCTATTTTGGTTTCATCTGACCATATGACATTCTCCCAATCCTCTTCTGGATCATCCAAATGCACTCTAGCAAACTTCAGATGGGCCTGGACATGTACTGGCTTAAGCAGGGGGACAAGTCTGGCACTGCAGGATTTGAGTCCCTGGCGGCGTAGTGTGTTACTGATGGTAGGCTTTGTTACTTTGGTCCCAGCTCTCTGCAGGTCATTCACATGTGGTTCTGGGATTTTTGCTCACCGTTCTTGTGATAATTTTGACCCCACGGGGTGAGATCTTGCGTGCAGCCCCAGATCGAGGGAGATTATCAGTGGTCTTGTATGTCTTCCATTTCCTAATAATTGCTCCCACAGTTGATTTCTTCAAACCAAGCTGCTTACCTATTGCAGATTCAGTCTTCCCAGCCTGGTGCAGGTCTACAATTTTGTTTCTGGTGTCCTTTGACAGCTCTTTGGTCTTGGCCATAGTGGAGTTTGGAGTGTGACTGTTTGAGGTTGTGGACAGGTGTCTTTTATACTGATAACAAGTTCAAACAGGTGCCATTAATACAGGTAACGAGTGGAGGACAGTGGAGCCTCTTAAAGAAGAAGTTACAGGTCTGTGAGAGCCAGAAATCTTGCTTGTTTGTAGGTGACCAAATACTTATTTTCCACCATCATTTGCAAATAAATTCATAAAAAATCCTACAATGTGATTTTCTGGAAAAAAAATGCTCAATTTGTCTGTCATAGTTGACGTGTACATATGATGAAAATTACAGGCCTCTCTCATCTTTTTAAGTGGGAGAACTTGCACAATTGGTGGCTGACTAAATACTTTTTTCCCCCACTGTAGCTGTGTTTGTCCTGTTCTACTTGAGCAATAAGACTGTACTCTATTCAAAATACAACAGGGTTCATTGATGACTGATCTGACAATGTGTAAGCCCTATCCAACAATAAAATCCAACTTTATTTAGGCCTATAGCGTACAGGTGTCACAACACACTTCACCTTGAATTATGTATGATCTGTCGGAGTGTTAACATTCTCTCCCTCATCTCTCTCTCTTTATCTCCCCCATCCCCCTCTCTCGCCGTAGACCAGCTTTTCTGCCTGACCCTAACGATGGCAGCCTGTACTCTCTAGGAGGGAAGAACAACGAGGGACTGACGGTAAGAGAGAGGAACCACTGAACCCCCTTATTAGACTAGCAGGGTCACCCCTCACTAGAGAGGAACCACTGAACCCCCTTATTAGACTAGCAGGGCACCCATCACTTAGAGAGGAACCCCATGAACCCCCTTAGTAGCCAGCAGGGTCACCCCTCAGAGGAGCGAACCACTGACCCCGCTATAGACTAGCAGGGTCACCCATCACTAGAGAGGGAGGAACCACTGAACCCCCTTATTAGACTAGCAGGGTCACCCATCACTAGAGAGGAACCACTGAACCCCTTTATTAGACTAGCAGGGTCACCCATCACTAGAGAGGAACCACTGAACCCTTTATTAGACTAGCAGGGTCACCCATCACTAGAGAGGAACTGACAGTTTCCTTTTTCTCTAGAAGGCCACTGCATATCTGCCCACCACAGGTGATAAGCAAGTCACGCAAAACATGTAGTGCACATCGGTGTGTGTGTGTGTGTGTTTGTGCGCGCATCATGTTTCTGTTTTTGGCGTAGTAGCAGAGTCTGTGTGAGATTGTGAGTGTGGGCATGGTGTATGTGGTTTATTATGAAATAGCATTGCTCAACATTGACCCCTTGATATTGATACATTCACAGTAAACATGCTTATGAGTGGGCCAACTAACGTTTCCCTGTTTTCCACAGAAACTGCCTTTCACCATACCTGAGCTGGTCCAGGCGTCGCCCTGCCGCAGCTCTGACGGGATCCTCTACATGGGTAAGTCTTCCAGCTCTCAGACCTAGAGTATATGACACACACTGACATAACATGTAGACATTTAGAACAGACCAGGAACAGGTTGGACTACGTTGTCATGGATACCTGCTCTACCAAGCGTGGCAACCGTTCAAGTCCCGATCAGGCTGACCTCTAATGAATGAATCTAATCTTGTTAGAACTACAAGACGTTACACTACATTAGCATTCATTTCACCTCACGGTCATCATAACCCCTGCTCCTTTGAATATACTGCGGTCCGAAGGCGTTAACGTAATCTAACCTATCTGCCGTGCCATTGTTCAGCGGAGAAAATGGATGTCACATTTCTAGTCAGTCCTGTAGAAGTGTTCACACCCATTCACTGAAGCCACTGCGAGCACAAAGGGAGAATGTTCTGTGTTAATTGTCAAACCTGTTGGCCAATGGCAATTTTCACCTCACACTGTGCTAGACAAACAACTGTAATCTTCAGTCTAAAGTCGCCCTGCAGAGTCAGTTTGAGGAACAGCTCAGCCAACAACATCCTACTCACGGGGTGGGGCCACCAGCACTGCAGATAGGCCACTGTTTCGTAATCCATCAGGCGTAGTTATTATAGTCCTGCCAGAATAACTATTAGTGTCACTCCCTTCAACAACGCAATAGGGAGACAGTGCACTACTAGGGCATGGGGGTGTTTTTAATAACATACTATAGGTAGGTAAACACCCAATACCATCTGGGAGAATGTTTACATTTACATTTACATTTTAGTCATTTAGCAGACGCTCTTATCCAGAGCGACTTACAGGAGCAATTAGGGTTAAGTGCCTTGCTCAAGGGCACATTTACGTCATTTAGCAGACGCTCTTATCCAGAGCGACTACAAATTGGTGCATTCACCCTATAGCCAGTGGGATAACCACTTTACAATTATACTTTTTTTTGGGGGGGGGTTTCAAATGTCTCCGGAAGGTGGTGAGTGACTCCGCTGTCCTGGCGTCGTGAGGGAGCTTGTTCCACCATTGGGGTGCCAGAGCAGCGAACAGTTTTGACTGGGCTGAGCGGGAACTATGCTTCCGCAGAGGAAGGGGAGCCAGCAGGCCAGAGGTGGATGAACGCAATGCCCTCGCCTGGGTGTAGGGACTGATCAGAGCCTGAAGGTACGGAGGTGCCGTTCCCCTCACTGCTCCATAGGCAAGCACCATGGTCTTGTAACGGATGCGAGCTTCAACTGGAAGCCAGTGGAGTGTGCGGAGGAGGGGGGTGACGTGAGAGAACTTGGGAAGGTTGAACACCAGACGGGCTGCGGCATTCTGGATGAGTTGTAGGGGTTTAATGGCACAGGCAGGGAGCCCAGCCAACAGCGAGTTGCAGTAATCCAGACGGGAGATGACAAGTGCCTGGATTAGGACCTGTGCCGCTTCCTGTGTAAGGCAGGGTCGTACTCTCCGAATGTTGTAGAGCATGAACCTGCAGGATCGGGTCACCGCCTTGATGTTGGCGGAGAACGACAGGGTGTTGTCCAGGGTCACGCCAAGGCTCTTCGCACTCTGGGAGGAGGACACAACGGAGTTGTCAACCGTGATGGCGAGATCATGGAACGGGCAGTCCTTCCCCGGGAGGAAGAGCAGCTCCGTCTTGCCAGGGTTCAGCTTGAGGTGGTGATCCGTCATCCATACTGATATGTCGGCCAGACATGCAGAGATGCGATTCGCCACCTGGTTATCAGAAGGGGGAAAGGAGAAGATTAGTTGTGTATCGTCAGCGTAGCAATGATAGGAGAGGCCATGTGAGGATATGACAGAGCCAAGTGACTTGGTGTATAGGGAGAAAAGGAGAGGGCCTAGAACTGAGCCCTGGGGGACACCAGTGGTGAGAGCACGTGGTGCGGAGACAGCTTCTCGCCACGCCACTTGGTAGGAGCGACCAGTCAGGTAGGACGCAATCCAGGAGTGAGCCGCGCCGGAGATGCCCAGCTCGGAGAGGGTGGAGAGGAGGATCTGATGGTTCACAGTATCAAAGGCAGCAGACAGGTCTAGAAGGACAAGAGCAGAGGAGAGAGAGTTAGCTTTAGCAGTGCGGAGAGCCTCCGTGACACAGAGAAGAGCAGTCTCAGTTGAATGACCAGTCCTGAAACCTGACTGGTTTGGATCAAGAAGGTCATTCTGAGAGAGATAGCAAGAGAGTTGGCTAAAGACGGCACGCTCAATAGTTTTGGAAAGAAAAGAAAGAAGGGATACTGGTCTGTAGTTGTTGACATCAGTGGGATCGAGTGTTGGTTTTTTGAGAAGGGGTGCAACTCTCGCTCTCTTGAAGACGGAAGGGACATGGCCAGCGGTCAAGGATGAGTTGATCAGCGAGGTGAGGTAGGGGAGAAGGTCACCGGAGATGGTCTGGAGAAGAGAGGAGGGGATGGGGTCAAGCGGGCAGGTTGTTGGGCGGCCTGCAGTCACTAGTCGCAAGATTTTATCTGGAGAGAGAGGGGAGAAAGAAGTCAAAGCATAGGGTAGGGCAGTGTGAGCAGGACCAGCAGTGTCATTAGACTTAACAAACGAGGATCGGATGTCGTCAACCTTCTTTTCAAAGTGGTTGACAAAGTCATCCACAGAGAGGGAGGAGGGGGGGGGGGGGGGGGAGGGGGGGAGGATTCAGCAGTGAGGAGAATGTGGCAAAGAGCTTCCTAGGGTTAGAGGCAGATGCTTGGAATTTAGAGTGGTAGAAAGTGGCCTTAGCAGCAGAAACAGATGAAGAAAATGTAGAGAGGAGGGAGTGAAAAGATGCCAGGTCGGCAGGGAGTTTAGTTTTCTTCCATTTCCGCTCAGCTGCCCGGAGCTCTGTTCTGTGAGCTCGCAATGAGTCATCAAGCCACAGAGCTGGAGGGGAGGACCGAGCCGGCCGGGAGGATAGGGGACACAGGGAGTCAAAGGATGCAGAAAGGGAGGAGAGGAGGGTTGAGGAGGCAGAATCAGGAGATTGGAGGGAGAAGGATTGAGCAGAGGGAAGAGATGATAGGATGGAAGAGGAGAGAGTAGTGGGAGAGAGAGAGCGAAGGTTGCGGCGGCGCGTTACCATCTGTGTAGGGGCAGAGTGAGTAGTGTTGGAGGAGAGCGAGAGAGAAAAGGATACAAAGTAGTGGTCGGAGACATGGAGGGGAGTTGCAGTGAGATTAGTAGAAGAGCAACATCTAGTAAAGATGAAGTCAAGCGTATTGCCTGCCTTGTGAGTGGGGGGGGGATGGTGAGAGGGTGAGGTCAAAAGAGGAGAGGAGTGGAAAGAAGGAGGCAGAGAGAAATTAGTCAAATGTAGACGTGGGGAGGTTGAAATCCCCCAAAACTGTGAAGGGTGAGCCATCCTCAGGAAAGGAACTTATCAAGGCGTCAAGCTCATTGATGAACTCTCCAAGGGAACCTGGAGGGCGATAGATGACAAGGATATTAAGCTTAAATGGGCTAGTGACTGTGACAGCGTGGAATTCAAATGAGGAGATAGACAGATGGGTTAGGGGAAAAATTGAGAATGACCACTTGGGAGAGATGAGGATTCCTGTGCCACCACCCCTCTGACCAGATGCTCTCGGGGTATGCGAGAACACATGGTCAGACGAGGAGAGAGCAGTAGGAGTAGCAGTGTTTTCAGTGGTAATCCATGTTTCCGTCAGTGCCAGGAAGTCGAGGGACTGGAGGGTAGCATAGGCTGGGATGAAGTCAGCCTTGTTGGCGGCAGAACGGCAGTTCCAGAGGCTGCCTGAGACCTGGAACTCCAGGTGTGTGGTGCATGCAGGGACCACCAGGTTAGAGAGGCAGCAGCCACGCGGTGTGAGGCGTTTGTGTAGCCTGTGCGGAGAGGAGAGAACAGGGATAGGCAGAGGCATAGTTGACAGGCTGCAGCAGATGGCTACAATAATGCAGAGGAGATCGGGATGAAATGAACTAAACATCAGGGAAAGGAGAGAGCAGGCCTCCCTCACCAAAAAAAAAAAAAATATATATATATATATATATATATATAACTCTCCCAACTCCCACCTCAGAAACTATAATTGTTTCACTGAACCACCCGAGTAAAACTCTCCCAACTTCCACTTTAGAAATGAGAATTGTTGTAAACTACAGCAGACTGTTATCAGTAGCTGTAATTAAGTACAGCAGCTACCAACCACCTAACGTTAATGCCTCAGATGAGGTTAGAAAAACAGCTGAATGGTAGCAGCTAGCTGGCTCAATCACAGGTACTCTTAAGCATGAAATAACATTGGAAACAATTAACCACAGTTGCAAAAAGTTACCAGTAGCTACCCGCTAGCTAGCTAGCTTTGTTGGTCCAAGTAATGGGTAGGCTAGCCTCGTGCTTCGCCGGAGTCCGCCGAATACAGTCCTTACCTACAATAATTACCTACAATAACCTTCAATAACTACCTGAGTAAGCTACCTATAATACCAAACTACAATACCTACCTACAATCTAAATACATGGTTTAAGCTTAACTCAACACCATATAAGAAGCCAAGCTTACCTTTCATAACGCAGCAATGATTAAACGTTGGGTAGCTAGCACAAATATATTGTATTTAGCTACCACAGTACAGCCAGCTGGTAGTGTTGGCTGGCTAGCAATGGCTACTGTGTTGACTTTGTTTGAAAAACGGCGTCGCTGCGAACGAATGTAGCTGGCTAAAAGGATATTGTTTTTAGTTGCAACCGTTGCTAATAGCAACTCGCCAGCTAATCCAGGAGGTGAGTTAGCTAGCTAGCTTCGTGCTACATCCGGCACCGCCGAATACAAAAGTAACCTACAATAACTACACAACAGCTGCCCACGATGCCTACCTATACTACTTAATAATATACAGCCCACGATGCCTACCTATAGTACCTAACTACAATCTAAATACATCGCTTAAGCCTTACTCGACAAAGCCCAAGCTATGTATAAAGCCAAACTGGCAGACTGCAATCAGTAGCCGAAATTAAGTACAGCAGCTACCAACCACCTAAAGTTGATGATAATGAGGTTAGAAAAACAGCTGAAGGTGGCAGCTAGCTGGCTCAATCACAGGTACTCTTAAGCGTGAAATAACATTGGAAACAGCTAACCACAGTTGCTAAAAGTTACCGGTAGCTACCCGCTAGCTAGCTAGCTTTGTTGGTCCAAGTAGTGGGTAGGCTAGCCTCGTGCTTCGCCGGGGTCCGCCGAATACAGTCCTTACCTACAATAATTACCTACAATAACCTACAATAACTACCAGAGTAAACTACCTATAAAACCTAACTACAATGCCTACCTACAATCTAAATACATGGTTTAAGCTTTACTCAGCACCATATAAGAAGCCAAGCTTACCTCTCCTGCTAGAGAAAACACAACCTCTCCCGAATGCTGGGTACACAACCAGAATGCTGGGTGCATGTCTAGTCCACTTGTGTTTTTACTTAACTGTCCCACCCATTCACTCAAAGTATAATAAGGATAATAAACAACTCTGATTGAATGCGGTTCAACTGCATGTTTGGCTCTGCTTTCAGACCAGAGACCAGTAGGTTTTTCCAATGTTATTAGGCTGACTGCTCTGTGTTTCCTAGGGCTGGGCGATGTGGCCTAAAAAGAGCCATGCATAATGCACATTTATTAATAATAAGTAACTTCTTGTAGCAGGCATTATAGAAAATGAACACCGGTCTCATACAAAATCTCTGAAGCCCAAGCCCACGTGCTAGTGAGTAGCCAACTTGGATCTATTTGCTAGTTAACAAGGTAGAACAGTTGAATTGTTATGAATACACCCTTCTGTCCATCCCATAACAGTTTGAACAGCATGTTAACCTGTCCAATTTGTTCAGATGTTGAAATAAAATGGCCTACCAAATTTCTCAGAATGAGAATGAGTTGCCAATTCCGGATATATTTGTGTTTTATGCTTATTGCATATTTATAAAAACATAGACTAGACCTTGTATAATAGTCTTTGGCTAAAATGCTCCTAGCGGTACGCAATGCTGCGCGCGACAGAAACGGAGCATGAATTTTCCAGAATCAATGTTCGTTGATACTCCTGTTTTAGTAGTGTCTGCTCTGTGTGCAATTTGGGGAGGTGAGACATAAAAAGGGTGTTGTTAGAAAGGTTAACTCATCTATCACATCATTTTACTGTATCAATGTCTTTCGGTGTCCATATGATCGAATTCTGTTGGACCAGACCTCAAAATACAAATAGCGAGTTGAAAACGCTTGTCTTAGAGGAAGAAGTGATCTCTCATCTTTGTAGTTGTGAGTGGAAGGGGGAGGGGCTTGGTGTGTGTGTCAGTGGGAAGGTGCACGGTCACAGCAGGAGAGAAGGAGACCAGACCAAAAAGACAACATGAGAAGCGGACATCAACGCCCATCAAAACACCCAGCCCTATTGTGTCCATGTGTTTGTGTCCTCATGATGTCCTTATGTCTGTTTTTTATCACTTGTGTGGTGCGTGTGTAGGTAAGAAGCAGGACCTGTGGTACGTGGTGGACCTGTTGACAGGGGAGAAGCAGCAGACCCTCACGTCCTCCTTTGCTGAGATGCTGTGTCCCTCCTCCTCCCTGCTCTACCTGGGACGCACCGGTAGGCCCCTGTAGCTCACACCACACCCACCCACCCACCTGGCTGGCTGGCTGGCTGGCTGGCTGGGGTCTAAACATCTCCATGCCATATTATTCACTTCTCTCCCTTTAGCCACTGTGTAATACCTATGAGGTTCAGTTAGGCCCAGGCTCATAGAGATGTGTTCTGTCTATTCGTTCCCATGGGCCCTCTTTCCCCACTCCTCCTCCCCCGTCCCGACACCTGGGGGTGTGTGAGATGGTAATCTGACACGTGAGGGGGGACCCTGCCCTCAGTGTGAGAGACCTCCCTGCTAATGGCACTTATGTAAAAGTCAGGCGTCGATGCAAAGCCTCTCTTCTCTCTCCCTCTGACATGTTAACCAGGATCCTGTTGTACTGGGTTTCATTTTCCACATCCTCATTCACATCCCCTTTACAGATCTCGGATCAGCTCCCCCAATCCTAACCTTAACAATGAAATGTGAATCTGACCCAAGATCAGCGATTGGGGGCAACTTTACTGCCTCGGAAGAGCTACGCTACTTCCATTCCCATGCCCGTTTGTACTCCCACTTATTACTGTGGTGATCTGTCATACCCTGTGTCCTATGGCATCCGCTTTATTTTTATGTGTCACTTTAGATGACTTGTCTGTGGCTTGTTGTAGATATTTATGGCAGTTGTAAGGGTCAGGCTGCCAGGGCAGCAGTCCAAGAAGTAGCCTGTAAATGCTTTGAGGCATGGAGACTCTGTCGGGGGAACATGAATTTGGACTTCTGTCATGTTATCCTGTGTTTTTCTAAGTTGGCCAGTGTTGTCACCATAGCTAGCATGGCTGTATAGTTGTAATAAGCGGTCTCACCATTTCTTCCCAAAGCCCAACATCACCGTGGGTTGAGTCCTGTGGAGTTTAGGTTCACTACTCTGGCATATCCTACATGTTATAGGCTACAGTATATCACGTTGTCCCTTTGTCTTCCCCAGAGTACACCATCACCATGTACGACACCAAGAGTAGAGAGCTCCGCTGGAATGCCACCTACTTCGACTACGCCTCCACGCTGCCTGACGATGACACCAAATACAGTAAGACATGCTTTTATACTACTTCTCTATAGCGACAGTGAATGCAGGCAGTGTGTGTGAGAGAGACTGCGTTGTTTGAGATATGCTGTCTGGTAGGGCTGTGATGATACCAGTATCACAATATATTTTCTATGGCAAAAATGAAAACACAAAGCAGATCAGACTCTTTGGTCCTTTTAAAAACCTGCTGTATGTACAATATTGTGTGCTATAATAGCTTGGAAAATAAATTAATGTGACTCTGGATGACAACATAATGATGGTGGTTTCCAACAATCGGGCTGTTTTCCTAAATACGTTTTCTTGCCATGATACTAATGACAATTGTGGTACTGATATCGTCCCGGCCCTGTTCTCTGGTTGAAGGCATTCCTCATACTACATAGATCCAGGGAGATGAATTTATACTGTCATTATCCTCAACATATTACTATAGAACATCATCCAATATTAAGGAAACCAATATTAAATATGATTCTCCTCACGTCTCTCTCTCTCTCCTCACATCTCCATCTCTCTTTCCCCTCTCTCCCTCTTTCTATATATGTGTATATATTATCCACCTCACGTCATCTTTCACATAGTTGTACTGATGCAATACGTACACCCAGTTTACATAACCCCCCCCCCCCCCTCCTCCTCTCCCCCTCTCCTTATAGAGATGGCCCACTTTGTCTCCAACGGTGACGGGCTGGTGGTGACAGTGGACAGTGAGTCGGGTGACGTCCAGTGGATCCAGAATTACAACTCCCCCGTGGTGGCCATGTACATCTGGCAGCGCGAGGGCCTGCGCAAGGTGCCGCTCACCAACGTCGCTGTGGAAACGTTGCGCTACCTCACCTTCATGTCAGGCGAGGTGGGCCGCATCACGCAGTGGAAGTATCCCTTCCCCAAGGAGAAGAAGCCCAAGAACAAGCTCATGTAAGTAGACCGTGTGAACGACAGTGGCTCCCCTTTAGTTACTCAGCTATGGAGGCTGCAAAATCCTGACTTAAGATATTACTTTGTATGTGGCTTATGCTTTCATAGAAAAACACAGACAATGGGATGAAACTTTTTCATTGTCACTTTTTGACAGGGAAGAGTCTCTATTTTAGCCCCAGACCAAGGGTGATTGACCGTCATCTTGAACTTCTTCCATTTTCTAATAATTGTGCCAACAGTTGTTGCCTTCTCACCAAGCTGCTTGCCTATTGTCCTGTAGCCCATCCCAGCCTTTTGCAGGTCTACAATTATATCCCTGATGTCCTTACACAGCTCTCTGGTCTTGGCCATTAATATAATAATAATATGCCATTTAGCAGACGCTTTTATCCAAAGCGACTTACAGTCATGCGTGCATACATTTTTGTGTATGGGTGGTCCCGGGGATCGAACCCACTACCTTGGCGTTACAAGCACCGTGCTCTACCAGCTGAGCTACAGAGGACCATTGTGGAGAGGTTGGAGTCTGTTTGATTGAGTGTGTGGACAGGTGTCTTTTATACAGGTAACGAGTTCAAACAGGTGCAGTTAATACAGGTAATGAGTGGAGAACAGGAGGGCTTCTTAAAGGAAAACTAACAGGTCTGTGAGAGCTGGAATTCTTACTGGTTGGTAGGTGATCAAATACTTATGTCATGCAATAAAATGCAAATTAATTACTTAAAAATGATACAATGTGATTTTCTGGATTTTTGTTTTAGATTCCGTCTCTCACAGTTGAAGTGTACCTATGATAAAAATTACAGACCTCTACATGCTTTGTAAGTAGGAAAACCTGCAAAATCGCCAGTGTATCAAATACTTGTTCTCCCCACTGTGTGTGTGTGTGTATGCACATTCAATGCCCATGGCTATGGGAAGATTTGCATGAAAGTTCAAACTAAAACAGTAGTCAGCTCTACACTTTAAAATACCCATCCCCTGGGGTATTTACTCTAGAAAAACAATGACATGAGGATAAAATAGAGAATCTTCCCTGTCAAAAAGTGACAATGAAAAAGTTTCATCCCATTATTTATGTGTATATTTGTATGACATTTGCATATCTGGCTGAGGATTCCGTCCTGATTGGTTAGGAACAGAAACCCCGCCCTTTTCTATACAATGTTGATTGGTTTCTATCAGCTCCAGTCTATGCTCAGCAAGACTCCAAGCAGAGCCTCTCCCCTTGAGCATTTGCCACAGCATTTCAGCCAAGACCATTCTCCTTTGACTCCTATTGAAGTAGTTTGTCACGCTTATTTAGCCACTTCCATTCTCTTTGATGATTAATTAAATAATTTACTCTGAATCTGTTTGATTGTTTTCCTTCAAGGCATTTCTTTTGTAAACGGCCCCTTTGAAAATGCTTCTGCTAAACTCTTGAAGTCTGACAAGTAATGTAAGATGGGTTGAGTAAGTTGATGTTGATGTTGCAAGCAGCACATGTTATGGTATTTGATCTCCCCATCCTGAGAACAGGGGTTGGCCCCAACTCTACCAGTCGTGTTAGAGCTTTGATATGCATTCCAGGGCTCTGAATCATTGATGGGGTATTGAAGATCCGTTTTATATCTAGGTTTGATGATTGCACGAGCCAGTGGTGGTGTAGTCAGGACTTGCAGAGATTTATCCCTTTATGAACAAATGATGCACATCCAACCAACACAGATGGCCTCTTTCAGTCGTGGTTTCACAATACAGTTCTGTACTTCTATTTAAACCAGCTTTCAGAAGAAACGAGAAATAACAGTTTCAGTGGGTGATCTTGTAGTGTGTGTGTGAAATTGTCTGTTTGTAACCAAGAGTGTAGTTTTCTGACTCAAATCAAAGCTGTCTACAGTATAATATAGAATCTCCCTATTATAAAAGTCCTGGTTAAGGTAGACGATTAGGCTTCTCTTAACCCGACTATGTTTAAGGCTAAGATTAAGACTATCCTGTTCTGTTGTCTTCACAGGGCCACACTCTACGTAGGAAAGCACTCCACCAGCCTGTACGCATCGCCCTCCCTGGTGCATGATGGGGTCACGGTCGTGGTGAGTGACACTAGGCACTTCTGTGTTAGAACAAAACGTGACATTCCATCTAGAATCTAGAACATCACCAAACAACTGGAAGCTTCTGGGAGGTGATCACAGCCCAAAATCAAAGATGTGTGTTAAGAGTCCCAGGGACCCTGCACTAGTGTTGGTTTGGGTGTTTACCTGGCCACAACCCAGGTCACAATGCCCCTCTCAGGCCTGGCTCACTGCAGCACAGAGGAACATGGGATAGTATCAGCAAGACCCCTTATAAATGGACCTAGGAATTTTGTATCTATTTACAATAAAATGTTGAGATTAATTTGATCTTGACATCCCACTTATTTCAGTTTCCTTCTAAGTAGTAAAGGAGGTAGTCATGTCTGTCAACATTTAACAACATTAAACTATATTAGCATTGTCAATCACAAGGTGACTTCCCTGGTTAAATAAAGGATCCATAATAATCTAGTGGTTTGTGTGTCTCCTGTAGCCCCGCGGCAGCACCTTCCCCATGCTGGAGGGCCCTAACAGCCAGGAGGTGACCGTGGAGGAGGAGTGTGTGATCACTCACAGGACCAGCGTCAAATTAAACGCTGCCCTGAGGGAACGCAACCGCATCAACTTCATGAGGAACCACCTGCTCCTCATAGGTAGAAAACACTCCTCTCATGCATTGCCCAGTGTCTAGCGCCCTCCGGTGTCTAGCGCCCTCCGGTGTCTACATTGTGTAATTATAGAGCCCTCTGCTAGATGCTCAAAGTCAGTTGTCAAATGTGGAACACAAACACTGTCCATACACTTCAATGCAGTTGTGGCAGGAGAATAAGGATGGAAGGTGGTTTTGAGAGTGATGTCAGTATGATGATGATTAAAGGATTCAGAATATGTTATTGATGTTATATAGATACATAGATGTTATATAGATGTTATTACACACAATGTGGAATATCATCATAGTGATGATGGTTGGATACGTTTCTCTCCCAGGTCATCATGAGATGCCTCCTGATGCCCATAACAAGATCCTGGAGAAGTTCCCTGACAGTATCCCACGCCAGCAGGGCAATGTCATCCCCCCCACCACAGAGAAGACCATAGAGGAGGTGTGTGTCAGTCCTTCAGCATGCCAACTAACCTCTCCTCTTTGATTTGATTTTGTTGGGGTACAAAAAATATATTCTCCCTCTTCCTCCCCTAGAAGGTGAATGAGAGTGACATGGGAGACGGCCCCACTGTGGGCCCCAGCCCCCCGGTGGTCACCTCCATCCAGGAGCAGCCGGGGCTGACCACACCGGTGAGAGTAGAGGCTCCTGTGGACTCCATGCTTAAAGACATGGCAACCATCATCTTCAGCACCTTCCTCCTGGCCGGCTGGGTAGCCTTCATCATCATCTACCCCAAGGTGAGGGAGCGCTGACACCTAGTGGTGATCTGGTGTATGGTTGTGGCTGTTACTACCTGGCTGGACAGACTTGTCAGTCAACAAGCTGAAAATGAGAGTGAGGAAAATGTAGTCCACAGTTTAGTTCCAGTATGATGGTAGGCTCTGTGTTCAATGTAGGAAGTAAGGCCACAGTTTAGTTCCAGTATGATGGTAGGCTCTGTGTTCAATGTAGGAAGGAAGGCCACAGTTTAGTTCCAGTATGATGGTAGGCTCTGTGTTCAATGTAGGAAGTAAGGCCACAGTTTAGTTCCAGTATGATGGTAGGCTCTGTGTTCAATGTAGGAAGTAAGGCCACAGTTTAGTTCCAGTATGATGGTAGGCTCTGTGTTAAATGTAGGAAGTAAGGCCACAGTTTAGTTGAAATGTTGAGTTATAGATATAACACATACCTGATATGACATGAACACTCTATAACTCACTTATACATGTACCCTGTTTTCTGGTTTATATTAACACAAACACACACACACTCATACCCTCTCCTCTCCATCTCTCCTCTCCCAGAGTGTTCACAAGCAGCAGCAGCTGCAGCATGAACAGTTCCAGAGGCAGTTGGATGAGAGGCTGGATCTCCTGAGGAGACAGCCGTTCCCTCCCCCAGGGACCGACCTTCCCCTGCTGGCCCCGGACGCTGACTCAGACCACAGCAGCCCCAACGGCACCCCCAACATCACCCCCCGCGCATCCAACCACTCCAACCTGTCTGTGTCCGAGCTGGGCAGCTCCGCCAATGAGCATGAGGACGGAGGTATGGAGGACACAAGTGGATACACACACATTGATAAAGGCACACGCATTGATTCACACATACACTGACACTCACACTTACATCAGGTCTAGCAACGCTCTATTCATCTTGATGCCTGGGTATTGTTTTGAAAATTCGAGTAAGATACTCTTCTGATTCCAATATCTGATGTGTTTTTTATGGTTAATCAGATGAGGACTCTGACATGGTCAGAGTTGGAAAGATAACGTTCCTGGCCCAAAAATGTTTTGGGCCACGGTGCAGAGGGAACCATCGTGTATAAGTAAGTCTCAACCCAATCTAATGTTTCTACATTTGTAACAAAATGAAGTGTCTTTTTTAGGTCTGCTCAGTCAGTCGTTCAATCACCTCTACTGGTCATAAAGACTCTCTAGAGACTCTTTGGCCGCATCCCCATTTATTTCTGTGTAAGTGCACACTTCAGCAGAGGGCTAGAGAACTGGGACCCTTTAAAAAAAGTTATGTTTTACAAACATACAGACAATAAGTCAACCTTTCTTTGTAAAGTGTCTGTTTAGGAGTGTTCTACTAACCTTCCCCTGCTCTGTCCCCCAGGGGTCAGTTTGACAACCGTGCCGTGGCGGTCAAGAGGATCCTCCCAGAATGCTTCAGCTTTGCTGACCGTGAGGTGGATCTGCTACGCGAGTCAGACGAGCACCCCAACGTCATCCGCTACTTCTGCACCGAGAGGGACCGGCAGTTCCAGTACATCGCCATAGAGCTGTGTGCCGCCTCACTGCAAGAGGTACTGCAGCCTCACTGACCACCAAACACAGGGGTCTGCAACACCCGGCCCATGAGCCAAATGCGGCCCACAAGCCAAATGTATCTTGCCCTCCAAAGTTGTCTTATGTCCTACAACAGCCTCTCTCTTCCTGACCTATCAGCTTACGCTCTCTATTAATTAATTAATTCATTCATTCATCCTCTTAAACTTTTTTTGTTACTTTTACTCACTCACTGGTTGCGGACTCTGTGTTTCCCTTTTCAGTATGTGGAGAGACAGGATTTTGACCGCCATGGACTGGAGCCTGTGATGTTGCTGCAGCAGACCATGTCAGGACTGGCACACCTGCACTCCCTTAATATAGGTAATAATCACAAGATGTGCACCTCCACTAGGTTTTAATATAGGTTTTCATGAAGAAAACAAAGGTTAACCTCCCATTTTTCAATATCAGTTACAGTCAAACCCATACAGTCATATTTTCAATAAGAATCACAAGACTACTGCACCTGGACTAGGTACAGTAAACATCTAAGATCCTTAGGTTACAGATTCTTCTTCCAGCCTGATCTGATCTTCTCCACTCTTCCCGTCCCCAGTGCACAGAGACCTGAAGCCCCACAACATCCTGGTGTCCATGCCCAACGCCCACAGCCGGGTGCGGGCCATGATATCCGACTTTGGCCTGTGTAAGAAGCTGGCGGTGGGCCGACACAGCTTCAGCAGGAGGTCCGGGGTGCCCGGGACCGAGGGGTGGATCGCCCCAGAGGTCCTCAGTGAGGACTGCAAGGACAACCCTGTGAGTGGTCCCTCTCTCTACTGGAGACATGACTGGTCCTGATTTTACAGATAGCAGCTGCCATGAAAGACAGGCCTGTGTGACTGACACTGTCTTGATACTAATTTCAATTGGTGTGAATGCAATTCACTGTTACATACTTATATTGCCTTTATCAAATACATTAATTCCTAGCCATCAACAGAACGCCATCATTGAAATATGAACACCTAACCTCTCTCTCTTCCTCTGTAGACGTGCACGGTGGACATCTTCTCTGCAGGCTGTGTGTTCTACTATGTGGTGTCCCGGGGATGTCATCCCTTTGGCAAGTCTCTGCAGAGGCAAGCCAACATCCTGCTGGGAGCCTACAGCCTGGACCAGCTACAGCCTGACAAACATGGTGAGGACATCACTTCCTGTTCTCAGACCCACAGGAAGGCGGTGAGGGGAAGTTGGTGTAGGATTGGTTTGGAAGTGATTTGATTTAAACCAGGATGTTGACTGCCTAAGAAACAGTGGTTTCTTGCTAGTGAGCATCAGTTCAGCCTTTGAAAGTACAAAGAAGAGAGCGATAAGTTTACATTTGGTAGTTTTGGTAAAGGCTGTATTAGAGTTATTATAGATAGATAGGTAGGGTCCTGATGCTATTGCAATTTGGTGTAAATGCAAACCCAAACATTGCCAATCAGTTGTTTCACATCAGAGACCGCTGTTGTGGAAAACTCGATCCAAAGATTAGGTAGAGACTAATTTATAATTATAATAGTGAATCTTTAAAATAGACGAGTAGCTGCAAGGTAGATCCCTCTGATCGCAGTCAGGGAAGGAGCTCCAAGAGTATGTCCCTTATATAGTGGAAGGTAATAATACAATCATATTGTTACACAACAGTTATTTATACAAGCAACAGTTCCGGAACACAATGGCCTTGTTTTAGGGTGCAGACATAACAGGAGTCAATGAAATGCAGAACATCACAGTCCAACACAGAACAATAACATAACCCTTGAGAAGTGACAACAGCTCACCCCAATTCTGCCACAGCACCGCGCCATAGTGACTGAGTGTTTGGTCTTGTCTTTCCCAGAGGACATCGTGGCCACAGACCTGATAGAACAGATGCTGAGTATGGAGCCCCAGAGGAGGCCTTCTGCTGAGAGCGTGCTCAAACACCCCTTCTTCTGGAGCCTGGAGAAACAGCTACAGTTCTTCCAGGTCACAATCAAATCCAATACTTTTCTATTAAAGCTGTTCTACATAAATCAATATAGCACTAGAGATGCAACTGTGAACTCACATCGATGAAGATGTGCAACATGTTCCAATAATGGCATTTTATTTTAAAAATAAAAACCCAAATTGAATCGTGTTTCCTTGTAGGACGTGAGTGACAGGATAGAGAAGGAGCCGCTGGACGGACCAATCGTAAGGCAGCTGGAGCGAGGGGGGCGGGCCGTGGTGAAGCTGGACTGGAGGGAACACATCACAGTGCCTCTACAGACCGGTAAGAGACTGGCCTGAGATCCGTTATAGCTACAGACACATACCTGCTCTTACAAGACTTTGTCCATGTCATGAGTGTGCACTGTGCCATTGTAGACTGGTAAAGAGACTGGTCTGAGTTCAGTTTTAACACTGCTACTATGCTAGTGCCTTTTAATAAATGAAAGGGTATATATTTAATGAGTTAGGAAATGATGACCTACTACAGTTTCGTACTGAAGCCTGATTAATAGTTGCCCAGTTAAGGTTAATGTTCTAGAGTGCAGAAGAGATATGAGTCTAGTCACTGATATAAAATGCAGTGACTGTGGATGTGGTTAGCATTTCCTGTCAATCCAGACTGCAGCATTTAGATCAGCTCATCTCAACCTGAAATGCTGCTTTGCTTCCTGTTGACAGTGTTAATCTTTATAGGTCTGTTTCATAGGGTTCAAATGAGTGTCTCCAAATGTATTTGCTAACTTAATATGCTACTGTATGTGAAATAAATGGTGAGAGAAGATTCACTGTGACTGTTGCATTCATGACTTTTTTAATTTGCATAATACAGTCATTTCACTATTTAGCTTGGTGGTATGTTTTAGTTTTTATGCCTTGTGGAGAACTAGTAGGCCGAAGATTTCCTGACAGGTAGCCTATATTTATAGGATATCTAACTTTAAACCATGACATTGTGAGGTATTTCAATCTTGTTGCATTATGAGACTTGAATAGGGGATTGGTGTGTCTTGCAGGTTTTAGGATAAATGATTAGAATGTACTGTGTGGATTACTCATTGCATGTATTGTCTCTTTTGGCAGATCTACGCAAATTCCGGTCGTATAAAGGAGGGTCCGTCAGAGATCTTCTCCGTGCCATGAGAAACAAGGTATGGGTGTCTTTCCAGCTAAATGATGCGTGTGTAACTGATTAGATATCCGTTTATATGAATCCGTCCTCTTTTGTCCCTCCTATAGAAGCACCATTACAGGGAGTTACCAGCAGAGGTCCAGGAGACTCTGGGCTCCATCCCTGATGACTTTGTGTCCTACTTCACCTCCCGCTTCCCCCACCTGCTGCGCCACACCTACCTGGCCATGCACACCTGTGCCCACGACAGGTCCTTCCTTCCCTACTACCCCAGCTCAGAGCAGCTCGCCTGGATACGGACTCCCTACACACACCCCGTGCCCAAGGCCACACCCCCGCTGCAGACACACACGTTGCAGCCGGAGGAACCCACACAGTCAAACACAATCCCATCCACAGAACCCATACAGTCAGTGACCGTATCAGACTCTACACCCATACAGTCAGTGTCAATCACAACAACAACAACACCCCCACAGTCAGTGTCAATCACAACAACACCCACACAGTCAGTGTCAATCACATTACCAGTAGAGCCAGTATCACCCACATCATTATCAGTCCAACCAGTACTGCCTATATCACCCCCACCCTCATCCACACTGCCAGACCTGCCTCCACAGACAGTATTGCCCACCCAGACCTCAGAACCCCCCACACCGTCAGAAACCCCCCCTTACAGATCCTGTCCCACCTGGACCACACATACTGCCAGTGCCACATCCAGCCACACAGGACACGGAGCCTGCCTGAGAGCCAACGAGGGGTGATGGATGCGTGCGGCAAAGAGGAGCGTTGCCTTATGAGTGGACATATACTGGGGCTCTGTTGCTCTTTCCTGTGCTGGTGAGGACCAGGCCTGCAGTGCCTGGGAGCTGCCGACAGGGGGAGAAGCAGCCCAAACCAAGTGCCTTTCCTGCTCGACTGAGACAAAATGGCTCCGAATGGAACCGTCCCAAGTCCCAAGGTCCCTCCAAGCATCAAGAAGCCAGCGTGGAAATGAACTATTGAGGGGCCGTACTGTGTAGTACAGAGAGAATCAGTTTTATTTGCAATGGAGTCCCTCCTAATGTCAAGTATTGTGAGGTATTTAAATATAGTTGGGCACAAAATACTTGGCAAAGGAAGGGAGGAATTATTCTGTTGATGTTGTTGGAAGACAAGTCGACAATGGTAGTTTTACTGTGGAATCTTATTTCTCTTAATGAGCCTTTTCACTGTAAAGAGGTGTATATTTTTGTATAGGAGATGACTTGATAATGACTTGATCATTGATAATCATGTGATGTGGCCATTGTGCCTTTTTAAATAACACTGTGCTATGTATGTGAGCTTTGAAGGTAGACGCCCCCGAAATAGTTTTGCTTGCTGCTGCTAGTGACGGCTTTTCTCTCTTGAATCAAGACCATTTCAGTGCCTGTCTTCCTGTGCAGGCGAGGGCAGATAGTCCAAAAGGTGTTTGAACTGAACACTGGTAAAAGCATAATGTGTGTATCTTTTCTACTTTTATCTCTGTTAGCGTTGTGCTGTACATCGGAAACAAGGCAATATGTGATCTGATTGTGTTTTTATTGCAGGGCGTCACCCAAAGTCTTGTTTGCTTGATCTCTGACACACTAGGCCTTTACTAAAACTAGTTCGGCTACAAGTCATGATAGGATGATTACAGAAAGTATTCACTTAACATTCTGTTTTTTGCTGTCAGAGGAATCATGTGTTTTCAGTCATCCCATCTTTGATGAATGATGATCCAATGCAACATGTTTTATTCAATCATATTGTCTTTATAATGAATGGCAGTTAAATAAGTCTTCATTTATTACATGAATTAACTGTTATAGTTTGTGTTCATATTTTATTTTGTAAGTGGAATACATTTACTTCAGGTTGATTTTGTACTGTTCATGGTACATCAAAAATACCAATAATTTACTGTATTTGCTCTAATGCAAGCTGTATAAAGTGAAGAGTGTTTTGTGCAAAAGTCAACAGTAAATATTTTGCAGTCCCGTCTGAAGATGCCTTTTACTGTTAAGATTTAATTTCTAACATACCATCCTGAATGCAAGAATAGTTTGTTTTATGATATTACATTTTCAGTTTTGCAATTGACTCCTTCTGCCAACGTCTGCCGTTGTTGGAGTGAAAATGCCAAATAAATCAGCATTAATATCTGTTATCGTGTTAAAAGTTTGCAAATATTTTGAGCTCGTGGAACTAATGCTGCGTTCATAAGCATGTGGTAAGGTGGTATTTACCACATGACTGGGAAAAATCCACTTGAACACCCCTCGAACTTGTGATTACTAGTGGGAAACTCGTCTATCATGCCTGATCTCCGACTTCTCCCACATGCTGACCTTTGACATCATCTACTAAGGAAGTGACCTCAATAACAGCATTTTCAGCAGTTAAATGTGACAAAACATTTATAAAAAGCAATCTTAATGTTCTTTTAACACTAATTTGTTAACAAGCATGATTAGCTGTACTTTTAGTTTGACAGAATTATGATTTGGTGTAACAGTGTATGCAGACCCTTTTCTGTGCAACACCCTCTTATGCGTGTTTACCTGATTAGATATCCGTTTATATGAATCCTTCCTCTTTTGTCCCTCCTATAGAAGCACCATTACAGGGAGTTACCAGCAGAGGTCCAGGAGACTCTGGGCTCCATCCCTGATGACTTTGTGTCCTACTTCACCTCCCGCTTCCCCCACCTGCTGCGCCACACCTACCTGGCCATGCACACCTGTGCCCACGACAGGCACTTCCTTCCCTAATACCCCAGCTCAGAGCAGCTCGCCTGGATACGGACTCCCTACACACACCCCGGGCCCAAGGCCATAGAGCTGCTGCAGACACATGTCACAGCCAGAGGAACCCACAACGTCAAACACAGTACCCTCACAGCATGTGATGGTGTCTCAAACAATCCCATCCACAGCACCCCTACAGTCAGTGACCGTATCAGACTCTACACCCATACAGTCAGTGTCAATCATAACAACACCCCCACAACCACATTACCAGTAGAGCCAGTATCATCCACATCATTATCAGTCCAACCAGTACTACCTACATCACCCCCACCCTCGTCCACACTGCCAGACCTGCCCTCACCGACAGTGTTGCCCACCCAGCCCTCAGAAATCCCCCCTACAAATCCCGTCCCACCTGAACCACCAGTGCCACACTGGACACAGAGCCTGCCTGAGAGCCAGGTGAGGGGTGGTGGATGGGTACGGCACAGAGGAGCGTTGCCTTGGGGTTTTAGGCTGGGTTTCTGTATAGCACTTTGTGACACCTGCTGATGTAAAAAGGGCTTTATAAATACATTTGATTGATTGCCTTACGAGTGGATGCATACTGGGGGAGCAGCAGCCCAAACCAAGTGCCTTTCCTACTCGACTGAGACAAAATGGCTCCGAATGGAACCGTCCCAAGGTCCCCCGATGCATCAAGAAGCCAGGGTGGAAATGAACTAGTGTGGGCAGAGTCCCTCCTAATGTCAAGTATTGTGAGGTATTTAAGTATTGTTGGGCACAAAATACTTGGCAAAGCAAGGGAGGAATTCTTCTGTTGACGTTGTTGGAAGATTTAAGTCGACAATGGTAGTTTTACTGTACAACGTTCCCTCAGTGAGCCTTTTCACTGTAAAGAGGTGTATATTTTTGTATATGTGACGACTTGATAATGACTTGATCATTGATAATTGTGATGTGGCCATTGTGCCTTTTTAAATAACACTGTGCTATGTATGTGAGCTCTGAGGGTAGATGTCTCTGAAATAGTTTTGCTTGCTGCAGATAGTCTTAAAGGTGTTTGAACTGAACACTGGTAAAAGCATAATGTGTGTATCTTTTCTACTTTGATCTAGTCTCTGTTAGCGTTGTGCTGTACATCGGACACAAATAAATATTGGTTATTTTTTTATTGCAGGGCGTCACCCAAAGTCTTGTTTGCTTGATCTCTGACACACTAGGCATTTAAAACTTGTTCTGCCTCAAGTCATGATAGGATGATTACAGAAAGTATTCACCTTACATTCTGGGTTATGGGCTTGAGTTTTTTTGACCATTCTTTGATGGAGGAATTATATATTTTTCTGTCATCCCATATTCCTTAATGATGATCCAACGCAACATGTTTTATTCAATCATATCCATTGTCAGTTGAATGACAGATGAATAGGTATTTAATGTATTACATTTATTACATTTATTAACTGTAATAGTTTGTTAATATTTGATTTATTTTGTAAGGTGGATATTTTGTACTGTCCATACTACACTGATCAGAAATATAAACACAACATGTAAAGTGTTGGTCCCATGTTTCATGAGCTGAAATAAAAGGTCCCAGAAATGTTCCATATGCACAAAAGTATTATTTCTCTCACATTTTGTGCACAAATTTGTTTACACCCCTGTTAGTGAGCATTTCTCCTTTGCCAAGATAATCCATCCACCTGACAGGTGTGGCATATCAAATACCTTGTGCTGGGGATAATAAAAGGCCACTAAAATGTGCAGTTGTCACACACCACAATGCCACAGATGTCTCATGTTTTGAGGGAGCGTGCAATTGGCATGCTGACTGCAGGAATGTCCACCAGAGCTGTTGCCAGAGAATTGAATGTTAATTTCTCTACCATAAGCCGCCTCCAATGTTGTTTTAGAGAATTTGGCAGTACGTCCAACCGTAGACCACCTGTATGGTATTGTGTGGGCGAGCGGTTTGCTGATGTCAACGTTGTGAACAGGGTGCCCCTTGGTGGCGGTGGGGTTATGGTATGGGCAGGCATAACCTACGGACAACGAACACAATTGCATTTTATCGATGGCAATTTGAATGCACAGAGATGAGATCCTGAGGCCCATTGTCTTGCCATTCATCCGCCGCCATCACCTCATGTTTCAGGATGATAATGCATGGCCCCATGTCGCAAGGATCTGTATACAATTCCCGGAAGCTGAAAATGTCCCAGGTCTTCCATGGCCTGCAGACTCACCAGACATGTCACCCATTGAGCATGTTTGGGATGCTCTGGATCGATGTGTTCCAATTCCCGCCTATATCCAGCAACTTCGCACAGCCATTGAAGAGGAGTGGGACAACATTCCACAGGCCACAATCAACAGCCTGATCAACTCTATGCGAAGGAGATGTCGTGCTGCATGAGGCAAATGGTGGTCACACCAGATACTGACTGGTTTTCTGATCCACACCGCTACCTTTTTTTGAAGGTATCTGTGACCAACAGATGCATATCTGTATTCCCAGTCATGTGAAATCCATAGATTAGGGCCTAATGAATTTTATAATAATATACCATTTAGCAGACGCTTTTATCCAAAGCAACTTACAGTCATGTGTGCATACATTTTTACGTATGGGTGGTCCCAGGGATCAAACCCACTACCCTGGCGTTACAAGCGCCATGGTCTAGCAATTGAGCTACAGAGGACCACAGATTGAATTTATTTCAATTGACTGATTTCCTTATATGAACTGTAATATATGAACTGTAACTCAGTAAAATCGTTGAAATTGTTGCATGTTGCTTTTATATTTTTTTTCAGTATACGTTCCCAAAATCTTAACTTGTGCATTTTGTGAAATTAGGGTTTTAAGCTAAACTAAACATTTATTATTTGGTTAATGGGTTAATTTGCATTGTTCAATGTCTAAAAAACTAAACATAACATCCTTATTTTGCAAGAATAGAGAGCCACTGTTTCACAATTATCTCCTTTTGCATTGCCAACAAAATATTCCTGTTTGAGTGAAAATGACTTTGAACTCTACATTTTTCAGTTCTTCTTGGGACTAAGCAAACATAATAAATTCAAGTGTTGCCTGTTATGTAACTGACTTCCACTGCAAGCCAGAGGGGGGTCCATGCCACCTTGCCAGTGGCTGCCTTGCTGGCACCGATAACTCTCCTTTTCTCCTAAACAAAACGTACCCATAAAAAGCCGCCCCTTCATGACGTCGTTCCTATGATGTGAGACAGTTCCGCTATCGGGTGCACCCACCGGGAAGGACGGAACGTTCTAGCATTTGACACCACCCATCTCTAGTACAGCAGCAGAAATCTACCAGCTGGAAAGAGAAGGCTTCTATAGATTTTAGTGCGATTTACAGGAGCAATTAGGGTTAAATTAAGAACCTTGCTCGTGGATTCGTTACTGGCACAACGCTCTTAGCCGCTAGGCTACCTTTCTATCATACCGAGTCTTCTAAAACAAACGATGTGAGGCGTATTAAGAACTAAACATAATTTCTGTACGCAATGGTACAATCTCACGAGGTGAGGAGAACTATACCAACCGTAGTCTACGCTTGTCGAAAGTGTTGTAACAGTGCAAAACATATTCCTATCCCTTTATTTCTGTCAGGTGAAACACTTTTGTTGGAGTTTATCTGCTGTCGGAAAAAACGATCCATGAAAACCTACCCTTGTTTCAAACCTCTATTTTTTTTCCAGAGAGGAAAAATATCCCCACCAACGTTTGGTTCATCTTCACCCGCCCATTGGTAAGACCAATATTTACTTTTCTTGGAGACTACAGATGGAATTTATGAAGTTTCAATGTCTCACTATTGGGATACGCCTGGGCATGGCAAAAGTCTTTAAAAGTAACCAATCACACAGCGTCTGTTGGACACAGGTCAAGTGGCGAATGAGGCGAGCCCCTCTCCTGCATAGTGTGCCCGCATTTCGGTGCATTCCTACATGTGGGTATTTAGACTTGGAATTCCGAGTTGGATGACTGTTCAAAAAAAAAATTCCCAGTCAGATCTCCCACGGTCTCTGTTCCCTTCCTTTCCTCGGGTGAGACTGACCAGAGAAAGTCGATAAGTATTGCATCTTCTTCATGCACAAATTCATGTTGTTCCTAAGACCAGAGGAAGTGAAATATTCCTTGATATTAAAATAGACACGACGCTAATAATAATAAGACACACAGTCCAACTATCAAGTTTATTCTGTGGCGCAAGGAAAACACCTATTTTCAATGCGCATTGAATGTGGGAGCGGACTGTTGTCCAGAGGGAATCCCCCATACGGGGATTGGAGATGTATTTTACTCCTATACTTGATTTTCCCCCACTCTTAACAGAGTAGGAGAACAAGGATCATCCTTAATCTTGGAGCCTCTTGATGATCAAGCATGCTCTGGTTGGTGGAGATCATTCTCCCACTTCAAGACGATCCCTGGTAACTACCATTATGCAGGGATCTTTTGACCCAGGCGTGCAGAGTGATTTTCCACCCTCTCTAGGAAACCGTGGCCCGTCGGGCATGGCCTGTGAGGAGGAAAATCTGAATGGGACTTGGCTCTCTGAGTCTTCAAGACTACCCAAAGCCTCTCCTTCAAGATGGCTTTGCTGATTGCCCTTACCTCCGCATAGCGAGTGAGGGAGCTGCATGTACTCCAGTCCACCATTCATGCCTACAGTTACCCCGGGGTTCCGCCAAGTAACGTTTTTACCCAAGCACGCCTTTATGCCCAAGGTCAGCGGCAATTACAATTGTATCGCCTTAGAGCTTATTGATTTCCACCCGCCGCCCTTCTACTCTACAGAAGAAGGGCGTCTCCATCATTTATGTCCAGTACACGTGTTGCGCTACTACGTGGATAGAACGAGTGCATGGCGGAAAGAGTGACGTACTTTTCATTTTGTCAAAGTTGCGTCAATTCAAATCTGGTATTAGGAACAAAAGAGGTCAACACGACTTCTAAGATATATTAGTATTTTAATTAATGCAAAACCTTCAATGGTAAATATGATGTTCGTATAAACGGGCTCCCTGAAATACCACGCAGGGCAGACAGAGAACTAATCCATTGTTATGAGTTCTTCTTCAAATACTCTGACAGAGATAGTTCCCACTCTCTGCTGGGCCTGTCAGGGTAGAGACTGAGCGTGGTTTAGACTTATTCAGCCAATCCGTTGGCGCACAGGCTAGTCCCAGACCCTTGGCGCATCCCTGTTGCCAGGCATAAGTTTTTATCATAACAACCTGTCATGGTGAGAAGAGCCAGCTCCCCTAGACACCATTCCTACGTCCAAGGACGGTTCACAGATCACAAAGAAGCAGTATAGTCTAGTATTTGGAGACACAAATTCTTATCTTATCTTACCCCCTAAAACAGCTCTTCACATCAATCACAGC